GCGGAGATATGTCATACGCAAATTTGAATGTAAACAAACCATACCTAGATAGCAGAGGGCTGAGTGAGGATTTCCTTAAACAAGTCTTTCACGATGTCCGTGTGGATGAATATTCCTTTACTCTCAGGAGGTCAACTCTGACCTGTACTTGCATGTTCTTTTTCACTTTTGATCTTGTACCAGTTAGACTGTCTGGTATCCAAGCTTGATTAACGCATTTTGCTTCTAAATAAAAATGATAATAATTAAAAGAATAGCTGAAAGGAAAAGCGAACCCATGTAAACTTATAGTGACGACCACAGAAAACTGAAAATTCCAGGAAATATTTAATTCATTTGTTTGGAATAGAAATATCAATGGCACTCGCTAAAAGGCTTGATCTAACACGTCTTTAGCGCGAGATAATACGGGTCTCTTAACTTAAGGCTTGAAAAATCTTCAGATATCTCGTCAGGTTATCTTTCCCTGCTTAAATAATTCCTGAGTTGTTTGTGCGCTTAAGTGGTAAAGGAAGTACTATATGAAGGTAGCCGAGGCACTAAAAATCCTTGGAGAAGCACCTAAAAACAAACAAAAAATTTCAACTTTTAATTTCGATCCCACTGGTCGGTTGGTCTTGTAAGCTTCATGCAAACGGACGCAACATTGTTGTCATTGTTGACCAACCGAATGTTGGATCCGTTTGCACAGCTCTTCCAACACTGTTGGGGCCACGCAAACATTACACATGGTCTCTTTGAACATTATTCGCGTCTGTCACAGTATTGTCGTTCGAATTTTTAATTTATCTTTATCATGGCATAATGCACTGCAGGTCCCAGCATTGTTGGGAGTTGTTGCACCAGTTTGTACACCACTACCAACACTAACCAACAACTCCCAACATTCTCGGGCCAACAATGTCTATCTCTAGTAAACCAACCCAGTCAACATGGGACCCAGCAACCTCGTCCCCAGGGCTTTTCCCTTAAAAAATGGGTGGGGCTGGGAAAAGCTCTGGGGACGACGTTGGGGACCCAGCCCTTTCAGCATGGTATTGTAGTGGAGGGTCGTGGAGGGCCGGAAGCAAAAGGAAGAGAGATCTTGTACGCGTGTATCACTCCCCCACCCCAACCTTCGAGGAAAGAGAGCTCGTTCATTAGATACGCGCATTGTCGTGGTTGCTAAGCAGCACTAAGGAGGCTTGACTCAACCACCAATTTAGTGGGTTTTAATTTCAAGAAGAAACATTTCTCTCATCTTTGTGAAACTTGGCGAGCAGTTTTCTATCCACGCTGGATTCTATTTGATGAGCTTTTTTATTGTCAGTCTTAGTCACGTGACTCAGCTTCGGCTTGTAATGGTCAAGATTTTTCACCGAAAATTGGGAATACTTAATCATACTGAATTGCCCTTATTTTATCGTATTTCTGTGGCTTCAAGCGAGGGCTTTAGAATGCCGCCTTTTAATCATGTTAGTGTGTTATCTACCCTGGGTGCCAGAGACTCTTCATGCGCGGCTTCGCTGCTCGTGTCTTCGGCCGAAGGCCGAAGACGTGTCAGCCTGCGGCCGACAAAGCTCCTCGTCACACGCGAGAAAAAATCTTTGGTACCCAGGGGATGTGTTATCGGCAACTGTTAGTTAAGTAAAACAGGTCACGTGACTTAACAAATATGTTAATAGCGATAAGGGATTGGATGAAAGGTGGAATCACGTTAGCAACGATCTTTATACCATTTTGAGGTAAAAAAGTTTGGAATTTTTAATGTGCAAATGTAGGTTATGTACCCCATTTGAAGAAGCATGCTTTCTGACGTCATCACTGAGCCGAAAACCACGTGACAGTATACGAGACTTTTGTTCAATCAAGTAAGTAAGCTAGATACAAAAGAACGGTACTGGGGACAACAATTTTTTCAATTCGGTCCAACCAGACCGGTCAAAGTGGACCATCTTCAAAGCTGGTCTCCAATATTCCGGTCAGACCAATTAAATATACATTCCGTTCCATTAAACCAATGAAATATCCGGAATGATGTGTTGAAAGGAATTCTAATTCAAGCTTGGGTGACCTGTGGTGACGGAGATTTGCAGAGATGCTGGTACAAAGTGTTGGAAGTGAGTGACCTTTCAAAATTACCAGGTATATTTTTATTAATTTCTCCCAGCGAAAACAAAACCATACTGGCGCGCGCCACGCAGATAACTTTTTTTTTTTTCAATGGACACGTTTATAAGTTTCCTCTCTCTATATATATATCTCCCACTCGGAAGTTGGTCTCTTCTTTTTCATTCCAATGAGCAGAAAGAGAAAAAGAAGTGCGTGAATGAAAATACGGTCGCGCGGTGCTTTTTTATGTCCGTCAGTGCGTAGATAATTGGTACATTTCCTTTCGTTTACATGAGGTACTAATTTTAGCTAATCACATGACCGGAACTAGCCAATAACAAAGGCGTATGACAAACCTCAAGATCGTTGTTTGAACATAGTTAGTGGAGTTCAACCTGCTTTATATTCTCTTTCTTGAGCGGAAAACAAGAAATTTCACTGAACTGAAAAGCCGGAACGTCTTACTATGTCTTTCAGCTTTGGGCAGAACAGGTGAGTTGAATAATAGCTGGATTTTTGACGCCAAAAATTGCTTGTTGTTTTAGCTTGCTGGTATCCTTAGCATCCCTTGGCAACGTTGTGGCGTTTTAAGTTATATCAAAGACGATGACTGAGGAGTTTTTATTTTGACCTGTTCTTTCATAGTGCTTGGGCCATGAGCGGACCGCCTGGAAGGTAAGTTTACCTTATTTTTTTTAAATAAAATATTCGTACAGTTAGGTTTCTAGCGATGATGAGCGTTCGTGTCTTGCTCATTCAATCGGCGGAAAGTAAGTGCTATTTTGCAGATGGTTTTCTTGTATATGGCGTTCAGTTGATTTGGCTCTCTTTCAAGTTTGATCCATTAACTGAGGGCAAGTCTAAAATATTCTGCTGTAATCATAGTAATATAATTGCTGTGAAAATTTCTGGTTTTGGAGTTGAAGAGCTGCTACATATACAATGTAGATTAACCTTCCATGCTCGAGGATTCGATACAAGCGGAAACAACAAAACTGCAGATTTTTTTCAGGTGGTTTTTTGCTTGCGCAGGATACCTTCTGTATTTAAACGCACACTGCTCGTACCATTCAATCATTTTATGCTTTTTTTAAGAGCAGTGTGGTACAAAAAAGCGTGCACAATAATTTTACAATACATTTGTTCAAGATCTGTTCTTGTTTAACGTTAAAGCTTGGGATTGCGCATTTAGGTTAATGGGATTTACCTCTTTCTTTCATGTAAATCGTTTACGAAGTTGTTGTTTTGCTCATTATCAATTTTATAGTGTACAGTATATAGTATACATTTTTTTTGTAAACAGTGTACTACATCTGTTGAATTAACCTCTTTTATAAACTCAAAGTTTGAAAACTGAGCTCATCTACATGATACCTCACCGATAGAAAATCTTCTAAAAGTTTTGCATAATTGTTGGATCTCAGTATGGATTTTCGTGGATTACCCTTGTTTAAAAAATTTTCAATTACGAGGCTTCTTTTCTTGCAGATTTATAATACGGTGTATAAAAAATTAGTTTATAGTAAGAATACCTGAGAATAACATGCATTCAATTCACTCTTGAAAAATATTGATGGCTTCAAGTGTGTGAAGCCATAGATGAGACTTTGGACTTGTTCCATAAAGAATAGCTTTTACTTCCTTATGACCTCAGCACATTGTACATTGACCTTCCTTATCATCTTTTAAATTTCAAAGGGATTGTTTTTCTTTAAAGGATATGGATTGTAAAATGTCCTTTTGTAGCATTGTAATGTGTTGCAAATTTAGTTGTACCCCCATCCATACTCAGATGAATTCAGGGCTCAAAAAGTCTCCCATCCGGGACAAGTACATCTTTATACAGGGCAAGGATATTTTCCTGTCTACTTGGCCAATGGGGAGGGCCAAGGAGTCATTTCTAACTAAAACTATGAAATAAGACATAATATCAAAGGCTTCATGCAAGTTGACATTAAGCAAGGCTGTGCTCTAGCAGAGCCCAGTGTCCCCTGGCGCCCAGCTTTTGCTCTCGGGCGACTAGGAAATCTTCCTTTTTTCATCCAAATCATGGTCTGGGCACCCTAGATTTTACAGGTTCAGAGCACTGGGCTCCCTTCAGTTTTTCCCAGGGCACAGTCTTGTTAAGTGTACTATGTGGAAGACTGTGCTGTAATGCTCCTAGTCATTCCTTACACATGGTACCCAAGACCGTATTTCTCCAATCTCATTCCCAAGGTGCTTGATTTGATTAGTGAATGGATAGGCCAATTTTCTAGCAAATGTTTGGAAGGGATAGCAAAATCATAAGGTTAATCTGTTTTTGTAGTCCCTCCTACAAATGATTAGCAAGCATGCTTTTGGCTTTCACAGTCAAATACATGGTTTGCTTTTCTTTGTGTATATCATTCTCTTGGTTCTATAATGATGTGATGATGATGTTTCTATGTGATGTTCCCACTATTCTTCAAATACAAGGGGCTTCAAACTTTCAATAGTTGCAGTGAAACGCGGTTTCATTTTTTGCCTAGCATCAACTTCAATGTTGGCATTGTGGCTTGTAGATGAACATAGCTTATACATCTGTATTAGCAGCGTGCAAAGAAAGTCGTGTCCGATAGCCCGGGGCTAGTGGATTTTGCTATTGGGCTAGTGAATTCTGTTATTAACTTGCCCAACGGGCAATTGATGTTGTTTGAGGAATTCGAATAACAAGAACTGTGAAATCAATTCTGCTCTTCAAAAAGCTTTTGGGGCTAGTTGAAATGACGTCTGGGCTAGCAAATGTTAGCTTCAGCTTGCCCGAATGGCAAGCTGTAAAAATGATTTTCGTTGCACCCTGATTAGACACTCTTATTTAGACTGTTTTGTATTTGTGAGTCCTCCATGAAAAATAAGTTGTGTCTAACTCCATTTCTTGTTCTGTTTGCAGTGTGTATGAGGATGATCCCCATGCGGTTAATCCCAATAGCATCCGGGAAAGAAAATTGCAGCAACAGGTATGATTGGTTATAGTTATTGTTCTTGACATTTTAGTACAATTTCACACAATCGATGACCGTTTTCATTTACTCCTCAAATCATTTCCCTGGTTTTGAAAACTTGTTGACTGTCTGTGTGAATTAATCACCAGTACCAAAAATAACTTAAGTTACTATGACACCTAAAGTGGTCAAAACTTGTAGGGTTGGTTACCATCAGAACTGAAGGCTCTCGACACAAGCACTCTGAAATTATTTTTCAGTAGCCTTCTCTCAAATGTAAATGAAAATTCAAGGGAATACAAAGTTATTGACCTTTGGATTTACGAAGCTGGTGTACAGTGTACTTTTAGTCCAAACGTGCAAAACATTTTGTTAATGAACAGAAAGTTTTGATGTAAGAGGTTCATCCAAAAAGTAAATTGAATAAGAATCATACTCACCAAGCCAAATGAGTGATGTAAAATACAGTGTGTCAACACTTGACCAAAAAGATTTCCTGATTGCCTCAGTGTGTTTAGTCGATTTCAAACATGGAACTTTACTTCTGCTGAATGTAATTTGTTTGTAAGGAAAATCTACTACAGTTGGTCAATGTCATTACATTTGACACAGGCCTTATTATTTCCAGCTCTGCTTTTCATCTGATAAGTCCTTAATTTACCACTTCTCAGCCATCAACACATACTGTACAATGAGATGAATATTAGTTTTTTAATTTTAATTTTTCAGAGAGATCTTATGAGAAAAAAGCAAGAAATGAAGAGGGCGCAACCAGGTTAGTGCCTTTAAAAGAAAATCTTATCTCCCCCTTCACCTTCGTGGAGTTAGACTGAGCATTTGTTGTATAACAATGTTTTAAAAGCAGGTTTAAATAATGGTGCCTACAGTACATTGTTGTTATACATTAACTTTATTTTTTCCAGGAATTTAAAAATGTTAGGAGGTGGATTAAATGAAAGCTCTCATGCAAGTTGTAATTTNACAGAAAGTTTTGATGTAAGAGGTTCATCCAAAAAGTAAATTGAATAAGAATCATACTCACCAAGCCAAATGAGTGATGTAAAATACAGTGTGTCAACACTTGACCAAAAAGATTTCCTGATTGCCTCAGTGTGTTTAGTCGATTTCAAACATGGAACTTTACTTCTGCTGAATGTAATTTGTTTGTAAGGAAAATCTACTACAGTTGGTCAATGTCATTACATTTGACACAGGCCTTATTATTTCCAGCTCTGCTTTTCATCTGATAAGTCCTTAATTTACCACTTCTCAGCCATCAACACATACTGTACAATGAGATGAATATTAGTTTTTTAATTTTAATTTTTCAGAGAGATCTTATGAGAAAAAAGCAAGAAATGAAGAGGGCGCAACCAGGTTAGTGCCTTTAAAAGAAAATCTTATCTCCCCCTTCACCTTCGTGGAGTTAGACTGAGCATTTGTTGTATAACAATGTTTTAAAAGCAGGTTTAAATAATGGTGCCTACAGTACATTGTTGTTATACATTAACTTTATTTTTTCCAGGAATTTAAAAATGTTAGGAGGTGGATTAAATGAAAGCTCTCATGCAAGTTGTAATTTTACATCCATGCACTTAAAAGATAGGAAACCATTGTTTTCCAGAGTTTCCAAATCTTGTTAGTCCATTACTGTAAAAGGTGAAAAAGGGATCTAAACCAATTTAATACTGGAACTTTTGACAGTTGATTCATAGGATTCGGAGAAATGATGACAATTAGTCAGGAGGGAATAATTCAATTAGATGTAAAGAATATTAAGTTGTCTTTCTGGCAGTTGTGGTCTCTAATTATGTCAGTCTGTATCTCCAATTTTTAACAGCCATTGTTTTCAGAACTTAGTGCTTAAATATAACAAACGCATTGTTGGACCAGCAAAATAATGTTGTACATGTAATGTCATGGGATTGTTTATGTGGTGCACCTGGCTTTTAATTAAGGTGTATGTGTAGCTTAGGTCAAAAGGCTGTAGTACTCGCGTGTGTATTTTTGAGATTAATACATTTTTTTAATCAGTTATTCTAAATTTTCATTTTGTAAAGTTCAATCAAACCAAAGGTGTGAACAAATGTGGTGTGTGTAATTTGTATCCATTATCCATTTATAAACGTTTATTTCATAAAATTCAGGGATGGTTCAAGCAAATGATGTAGTTCGTCCAGTGTCCCGTCACTCTGAAAGAAGTCCTCTTGTCCTGGGTGGTACACAGCTTCATGGTGAGACAGTGAAATATGTTTTTATCACTGGAATTTTTTTCCTTAAAAACATCCACTTGTCTTTGGCCTCTCCAAGAAATAAAACTTTTTCTTGCAGAGTCTTTGAGTTGGGAAATAAATTGTTTTAAACACTGATACCTGCATATGTAGACCATTACTTTGTTGTCATTTAAACAACTATATGTGATGTCTAATGTTGCATGTGCCTCATATACCTTTTTTTTTACAGACTTGTAAAAACACATCTGTGCATTTTATGATTTTAACTCAAAACTTATGCCAACTCTACAAATTGTGCATTTAAGTGAAGTTCAAACAGAACATTATTTTACGCATTGTACTCCAAACTTTGTCAGTTGTGCAGTGATGAAAGTACTGTACAAGATTTACTTCAAAGCCCAATTTGTAGTACAATACATTTGTTGCAAATGCTGTAGTTAATTTTTTATCTCAGGTAATTTTTATTTTTCCTTTGTATCAACTTCATTAGTATACATAACCTTACCCAAAAACAAAAGAAAAATAAAAATTACCTGAGATAAGAATTCAACTGCAACACAAATCACTTTCTGACCAGTTCCTTGGTAAACCAGTTAATTTTCTTTTGCTCAAATCTCAATAATAGTTATAATTCAGCCGTTCCCTAGCAACATTAGCCTAGCCTAGCATTACTGTTTGTTTGTTGTTATACTGTAGGTATTGATGGTCCAGTTACCAGTACTTACAGTGCACCTCCAGAACCTGCTGTTGGTGGTCTGCTGGTAAATGTTGGATCAGAGGAGGTCGAACCACCACCACGAACAAAAGTAAATTTATGAAAATTGTATAAAATATTTGTATAAAATTAATGTAGCTGACAGCTTCACATGTTGGCTTATGCATGTGCATGTGAATGTTTTGACAGCAAGGTTAACAGTTTCAAAAGGTGCTTGAATTTTCCCCCAAATTACAAAAACACGAAGCAAATTTATGCAGTATGGATAGCAATTTTTTATAAAAAAGAATTGTTTACACTGTAATTGGTTGGCTAGACTCTACATTATTTGCTGGATGTTTTGTGCATGGATTTATATTAAATCCTTTATCAGACCTGTCAACTCTCATGATATCGCCGTAAGTGTCAGGATTAATTTTTTTCTATCTTTCTTCACAGACTCCCAACAAGACTCCCAATCTCAAGGGGTTTTTTGGGGGTGGGAGGCTGGGGCGGAATCATTTGGAAGTGCAATTGTATACTCCACCTTGTTGAATAAAAAACTAAAAATTTAATGGGGAATCCTAGTGCCATAAACTAAAGCAATCAATGACAGTGGTGTAATAAAAATTAACACTTACTGTTCTTACCAAATAGTGGGAATTTTGCTTCTGTTTACCGTTAAGGCCTAGCTACTTAGTACTAGTCCAGAAGTTAAGCATTAATATTTAAATCAACACTTTACCCCAATGGAAAAAGGGTTCATAATTTTATTCTTTAGCAGGAAAAATAGCCTCACACTATTTTTTGTAGAAATTATCTCCAGGCAGGTTTGTGCATGTACCTTTTACTTCATTGGAACACTGTACAAAAATATATTTTTCCATTTTGCCAAAAGTAGTATTACGCTTAAGGTTTCCTTCATTTTAAAGGTAATTTTTTTGGTGTTTATGGTTATGACAGTCCCATTTAAAAGAAACACATAATTTTTACCTCTACTTCAAATTATTATTTGCAGCACACCACTGATACTGAACGCAAGTTAGCAGCAATGGGCATTTCCTCAAGTGCAGATTTTGCAGGCTTCAAGGATGATTTTGATGAACCTGAGTTAACATCACAAGTCATAGCTCCAGCAAGAGCAAGAACACCATCGCCAAACTTTCAATCAACGCCACCACCCTCATATGATTCTGCTACAAAGACAAAAAAGGTATTAACAGCTAGTATTCAAGGTTGGGGTCTGAGAAAATTTGAGATAAGCCCAGTGCTCTGAACTTGTGCGTGTATTTCATGTAAAGATCATGAATATTTTTGCTGTAACTTTGAAATAGTGTGGTATTTATTTGCTACTGGATCATTTTGGTGTTGGTGTTAAGTGTTGGAAGAATTTATAGGTTGTAGTACACAATGTAGATGATTAAGAAAGAACAAGTTATTATATTATAAATACATGCACATGTATGTTCTGCATTTTACATGTAATACAGTTCCTTTAGTCTGATCGAGATGACGACTAGTTCCAATTAATAATGAACTAAAGATAAAATAATTTATGGTATGCTTTAAGTTCAAACCGAGCTTAATCCATTTCAGATCATTATTATGTTCCTTTATGTACAATGTATATAAAATATACAGTGATAGTAATATTTAAACAGTAGCAGGTGGCTACACTTTATGTCGTGACTAATAAGTTGTAATGAATAATGTATTAAAATACAGCACTTTTACTACTCACTGTTTAAATGGCAACAATAATAATTTTATGTTGTTTTTACTTTGTAGCCATCAATTGCCAATAGCAGAGAATCACCCGATGTCGATGATCTTGAAAAATTTGTATTTGAGTAAGTGCTAAATCAGAGAGATTTAAAGTCACGTTTGTGGTAAACAGCATATATCAGATTAAAGTTGAAAATTTCCCACTGATAAGCAGATTAAAACAGTACAAACCAGTTGTTATGGATAAAATTGGTGCGTTGGTCATGCGGTGCAAATTCATGTTTGCCATTTGCTGACTAAAACGTGACTCTCCATCTCTCTAATAAATAATGCACTCCTCTCCTGTTAAGAGAGGTAAAATAATGATCATGCTTTCTTTTATTATTTTTGATAGCCCAGCCCCACAAGGCACCACAATTAAATGCAGAATAACTAGAGACAAAAAGGGAATGGATAGAGGAATGTATCCCACATATTTCCTCCATATGGAAAAAGATGATGGAAAAAAGGTACTATACCTTATGTTTCTTACAGCAAAGGAGCATTCATATTTTGTATTCTGTTTACTTTGAATCAAAGCAGCCATTTTTTACTCAAATTCATTCCTTTTTTTGTGGATTCAGAACAAAAAGTTTGCCTTACTCGTAATTCCTGGATTGGCTCATACCCTTGCCCTCAGCTACAATTTTTTCCAAATGTTTTTTACTAACATAAGTTTCATTTTCTTTGTCATATCATGTTGTGTAGTGGCATTTTAACTTAAAATAGAAAGATATTTGAAATAAAAGGGAGGCAAATGATGAATGTCTCCGCATGTTAATAATAGTAAACACAATACCACATGGAAAGTGTTCTGTACGGTATTTACCACTCTTGTTTTTTACAGTTTTTATAAATTATGTCTGTTGTGCACTTGAAATTTTATTGGCTTGCTTTGTCATATAAGCCTGAAACGTAACAGTGTTTGTCAAAGAAAATAAAGCATTTTTTCTTGTAATAGTATTAATTCTTGCATGGAAGAAAACACTTTCAACGCAGAGGTTGCTGCTTACCTATGTGACAGATTGAATTAACTTCACCATTTTTTCATATCGCGTGCCTATGAATAGTGTCCAAGAGAAAATGAAACATGACTTCTTGCATCAAGAAAAATAATTTTTTTGATGCAACAGACCACGGCCTATTTTTCTGATGCAACAGGTCACACACTTCACCTAAGTTATGTTACATAGCACACCGATGGCCCAATATTATTACCCTTAAAACTCATTACATTGTTTTATCAACCAGTGATACCTGTAGTGTCTCTGTACATTGCTATATATACATGTATGCCCTTTATTTTCAGATGTTTCTTCTGGCTGGTCGTAAGAGAAAAAAGAGTACAACATCAAACTATCTTATAAGCACAGATGCAACTGACCTCTCAAGAGGTGGAGAAAGTTTTATCGGAAAGTTAAGGTAGAGTATCTTCAAGCTCTTTCAAATTTTTCTTTAAATGTTCTTATCATAATTGCTCCATGTAGAGAATGTATGTGGTTACCAAATAGTTAATTTTCTCCGAAAGAGATCCATTTTGCTTTTGCGTAAATGGACAGGCCTGGATTTGAAAAGAAAATGATTTTTAGGGACTGAGGACACATGTCTGAACAGGTCACAATAATGTAGTCGGTCAAAACAAAATAATAAAGTCTACAGACATAAATACAGTAAAAACCCATGAGTAAAAACCTGCATTGTGTGAAGGAAAAAATTAATTGCAGCTAATAAACATTCTTGGATGAGGTTTTTGTGATATCCAGAATAATCAAGGTTGAGGAAAGTGTTGTCAGTCAATGCAATCCAAAGGCTGAGGATGATAATACTTACCGAGACCTTGATTATTTAGGATATCACATAAATTGAATCTAATAATTGTTTTATTTTATACTTTATTTTGAAGAAAATAACGACAAACACACTGTCGCAAGGGATCTGAGTTTATATTGTTATTGGAAACCATGCAGTGCACGTCTGATTACAGATGTAGTCAGTTTAACTTATCTGTAGGTTACGCTGATTTCCAAAATAAGCTGTAAACTCTTACCCAATGAGAAGTCAGATAATGAGTACAATGTATAATAAGAGTATTAAGTGGTAGTCAGCTTTCCTTATACATGTAAAATCTGCATTACATTACATTTGCAGTTGGACTGATAAGGGACCTATGGTATGTCAGTCTTTAAAGTAGGATCTTGAATGTGGACTAATATATCTTATTTGCCTCGGTACAGGTGGTGTACAGAATTTTTTTTATAGAGAACCTGTTTCAAATTATAAGCTAGGGAGGTTCTTGTATAGAGGGGGCCTTTCTGGCAGCCCAACAGGTTCTTTACTCTCTGTTTTTAATCCTCTAGGTGTCAATATCCACATACAAATTCTCCAAACTAGTCTCTATACATTTCCAAAAAGAATAAGTAAAGAGAATTTGATAAAAGATAAATGCATTTTTTCTCAGGTGATTATTTGATCAATTCTCACAACCTATTTTCTTGATTGTGTATTGATATTGTTATGGAGAAAATTGATGTTTGTCACTCTTGGGACTGATAAATATTGTATTTTACTTCAAATTTATACTGGTCATACCCAATATGACCACTGGGTGCTGTTGGACAAGGGTTAGCATTTTGATCTGGCGACTAACATTTTTTGCAGCTTTGGTGGATCAAATATACTAACACTCTTTTCCAGGCCATTATATTACAAGACATGACATTCATAATATCATAGTACTGTGTACAATTTCTTGGCATGCAGGTAGCCAAAAACGCTAGCTGTGGCGTGCGGAATTAATTCTTTTAGAAAACAGATATAAAAAGCAAAGAGAAAAGCAAAAAAATAAAAAAGAGAGAAAAAAGAAAAGCAAAGAGAAAGGAAAGGAAAGAATATTTGTGGTAAAGTCAAAAGCAAGAAAGACAAGTCTGTTTAATGCAAGTCGTGAAAGAAGCTAGTATGAAATTTAAGATTTTGCGATTTTATTTCTTGGGTTGTATTAGCACGGTAATTTCATCAGAACAATGCCAGTCGTTAATAAACATGTTATGGTTGTTTCCTTACAATCACAAGTTGCCAAAACAATATTTTAAAGTATTTTGTTCAAAGAAGCCCCAGCTTTGTTATTGGGAGCTTATAAGTTAAGAACATTTTGGTGTTCAACAAAGTTGAGAAAGTTTTTTGGGAAGCACCATAATTAAAAAATTAACAGAAATAATTATTGCCAGAGCTAAACTTTCTCTCACAATTTTTTTAAACAATGCAGGAACCTGGTTCTGATATGGGAATCAGAAAAGCTAGAAATTAAAGAAAAATTGCTTAAAGTCTTCATTTTGCACGTGTGCAACGTACTATTTCTGAATATTTTTCATTTTTTTTCTTGTTACAGATCTAATTTAGTGGGAACAAGGTTTACTGTGTTTAACAATGGTGTTAACCCTAAGAAGGGAGGGTGTATGTCAGATGGCTCAAATATCCGTGAAGAAGTAGCAGCAATTATTTATGTAAGTGAGGTGTTTGTTGGTGGAGAAAGTACTTTTTGTAATTTGCAGCAAAAAGACTTACATTGTGTAATGTTGTACATCATTAAATTGCACAGTGGTTTAAAAAAAGAAGTCCTTTATTTTTTGGCATTTTATTCACTCTCATGTGGTCCAGAAAACCTGGTTGGAAGTCAACAGTAATTGTTGTACCACTTTTTTTTACCACCTTTTCTGGACACAGGCCTGCCCAGGGGGGATGGGCACAAATGGGGCGCAGGTCCCATGCGAGGTGCCATCCCTACCCATTAATCCCACAACCTGGAAAGGTTAGCCACACCACTGGGGTCTACATCCCCTACTCTTTTCAAACAGTGGTGTGGGTCCTTTTACATCTCAAATGAATAGATCAGTGAAAGTGCTGTGAGACGGGAGCTAGCTACGGTTTTTTGTCCTTACTTGAGAAGACTAGAAAGTGTAACCATTTGCAGATCTCATTACAAAGGCAGCACTTTCTTCCCTTTCTTTTCCTCCTGCTTGGCGGACCAGTGCTCTCCCAACTGAGCTAACCAGGCAGCGCTTGTGATGTCATCAGATTTAATGCTTGTTGCACAACTTTTGCAGAGCAAAGAACTTTTCCCATGCATGATCGTCATTAGTAACCCAGGTGGTAAAATAACAAAAAGCATTCAGAAATTTGTATCACTTTGTATCCCTTACTTATAGAATATTCATACTCTACAAAGTTTTCCAAAAAGCCTTTCAGTAGTAATGAAGCCGAGAGAGAGACCTGTGCAAAAGATGCTGTACAATTGATGCACATCATAAAAAGTTACAGAAGTACCCATTTATTATGCTTCTCCACACCATTATCACACAATGGCCATTACATTTTAGATGTGGCCCTTAACATTTGAAAGCCAGGGCCCATTTATATATACCTGTTTTGCCTTCCCAGTCTATGTAAACTCCAAGTCTGGAAGGGTAGGCCCCCCTGACTTACCTGAAGTTTCTGGGCCCAGTTGATCGAAAGGTGGATAATGCTACCATGTATCCACTGTATAAATCTTGTGGATAATGCAATTGACTTGTATCAAATCATTATCTTACATGTAAAAACTAACATGGTGAAATCAGTTATCAGCCACTTTGACCGGGCGATCCCGCACCTATTTGAAAGATTGTTTTTTATTAGCTGGGAGAACAATAGGGGTTAATGTCACAATAAGGATGCCCCTATCCCTGAAAACAATGGAAGTGCAGATTAAAGGGGTCCTGAGGGAAATAAGAGGTTTAGAACAGTGAAGGTCTACTCCTTTGACCTAGGATAATATTTTTGTATACTGAGTGGCAATTTAACAGCTGGATTTAATTTGTCTTTAATTATCAGGATACAAATGTACTTGGATTTAAAGGTCCCCGGAGAATGACTGTTATTCTTCCTGCGATGGAGGAAAGAGTTGTTGATCAACAAAAGATACCCATGAGAATACCTGTGCGTCCACTGACGGTATGTTCATTTCAACAGCAAGTTGTTTACAAGAGATTTCAGGGGGTCAAGTGTAGCTGTACTTTGTCATTTCCTTCTTGTATAAGTTTTGCTTATAACTTTAATCATTATACACAGTGAATTGCATGTACATGCATAATATAGCTCATATTCAGGGCCGATAGAGCAGATTTTCAAGTGGGGGGGCTAATGCTACAATCAATAAATGCAAACTTAATGTCCTTTTTTAAAGACAACTTTCATTTATGCTGCCATTTGGTTATGACTTTAGCTGCCTGATGGTTTTATAGTTGGAAAAAAAGTCACCTCTAGCACCTGTATCATGGAACTAGAAATAAGAAGTTATTGTTTATTATTTGCTGCCTACATCTTTAGGATGCTGATGGTTTGTTGGAAAGATACAAGAACAAAAGAATGGAAAACCTTTTGGAATTACACAATAAAACCCCTGTGTGGAATGATGGTATGTACAAGTCTAAACTGTAAGAAAAAAAGAATGATGCAGTTTGTTTGAATGGCATTGTTATTGCACTTTTGGCAGTATGAATCAAGCGTGATTCAACTGCATCTTCACGGGATTAAAATGAAAGCTAATAGAGCTTTTCCTTTGTTTAGATACACAGTCATATGTCCTTAATTTTCATGGAAGAGTGACACAAGCTTCAGTAAAGAACTTTCAGATTGTTTTAGATGCAGATGGTAAGTAAAAATTAAAAATGCAAGAAGCGACTAGAAGTATTGTTGGGACTGCATTTCCTCAATGTTATTATATTAATTGTTGATTGCATCAGATATGAATAGAATATTAGTGGGATCTCTGTTAACATGCATTGAATTGTATGCAATAGACCTTTCTATCTGCAGCTACTGTCAAGTGCTCTGATTGATAAACCAAGTTTGAAAAATTGTTCTTTTACTGAGAGTTGCAGGGTTGTTGAAATCCAATTCTCAAACTCATTAATAATTCATTAAGAAAATACAAAGGAAATTAATGTTTAATGAGTGTTTGGAAATCGGATGAAACACTGCTTAGTATTTGCATCCTTAATTTCTCCTTCAAAAATGATTTTGTTTTTTCATCACCAGATGAAACACCTCGAAGTTCGTCAAAAATACTCCGCTGCGCGTCGTATTTTCAACTCTCTTCTCGGTGTTTCATCTGGTGATGAAACACTGCATCTCATGTTTGATATAGTACTTGAAATATAATGTATGATCATCACAGGGCAAAGGTCCATACATGCCTGTTTTCTCTTGGCCTTAGAACTATGAACTCTGTTACATGTGCACTCACTGAGTAAGTAAGGTGATTGCTTAAAATCATTTGAGCGAATTTTCAAGTAAACAATTTGCATTCTTTTACTGATGAATTGTAAAAGGGACAAAGTCCAGTATCTTCACATGCTAGATTACTGTGTGATAACTTGAATTCCCTTACGTACGAACTACGAAAGGGGCAAAGCCCAACACTCACGTGCAAACTGTAACTGTAAATCTCATGCAATCTGGCTTTTCACCGTAGTAATATTAACTTAAATATGAAGACCTCTTTAGTTTTGTAACCATTGTGCCTTAAGTAAAGGCTCTTTTCTTTTAAGAAGCACAACAACTTATAACAGTTGCAGAATCAAGTCATCATGAGAGTGAAAGTCTGTTTCATTAGTAGAATCGCACATGACAACCTCATCAATAAGGAGTGCCTTATTAGTGAAATTGGTTCCATCTTGGTGAAATCCTATTCAATCCCTCTCATACGTTGCAGTGCATCGTGAAAAACGCTTTGTTCCTGCATTTCTTCAGGGTGTGCCAAAACCTATGTCCGATGGTCCAGGATGGGTAGAAATTTAGTTCAGACATGTAAACCTTTGACATGACTTGTCCATGGGATAAGCACATTTTTAAATTAAGAAAAAATACAGGAACCATTGAAAATTGACTTCAAATTACAGTAGAATTAAAATTTATATTAGTCATAAAAGCAAACCTCATGCTGGATGAAATGAGGTCAAATATTCCTTTTAACTTTGCCATTCTACAGCCATTTCATTTGTTTTTCTGGTCTTAGTAACCAGGCCTTTTAAGACATTAGTCATTCCTACTATTAAGATTGCGCATGATATTATATTTAGGTTTAAATTATATTTACAAGGTTAATAATGTGATTAAAAACATATTAAATGCCCGACATTTTTTGGAGTTTCAAGTTTCAAAACCTTTTGGACCAGAACTCTTGGGTTTTGGACAGCAAAATTTAATATAGTGCTTGTCTGAAGGACAAGTGGATAGGAAAATTTTTCTCTTACTCGGTTTTTGAGGTCTGTATCAAATACCCATTTGTTACTTTGAGTCTGGAAAAAGAAATTATTGTTTTGGGAAAAAGTCTGGAAAAAGTCTTGAATTTTGGATCCAAAATCTGTACAAACCCAGTTATGCACTTGTAATTTTCTTGGTGCCCTGGATATCAGGTTTAAAAAAATTCGCATTGTATTTGATCCTTTGTATTTTTGCATTTTATTTTTTTGTAGTTGATTATATCATTATGCAGTTTGGCAGAGTGGCAGAAGATGTTTTCACAATGGATTACAGCTACCCAATGTGTGCTATTCAAGCATTTGCTGTTGCCCTGAGCAGTTTTGATGGGAAGTTGGCTTGTGAATGATGTAGTTACAAATTGAATGTGCTGCAGGCAGGGCAATTATTATAGAAATTATTAATTCTAAAATTCAAGTTAAATTTTGTACATGCAGGTAACTTAAGCAAGAGAACACACCAAATATCAGTTTCACTTCTGTATTATAATGATAGTTTTAGCTTTAAGTTGTTGCAAAAAGGCCATGAACCACTGTGCTTTTTTAAGCTATGTTTCTTGCATCTGTTGAGTTATTACAACTTAGGGTTTCTTTATATGCTAAGTAATCTTTTCTGAGTACTCATATTATAGTCTATACGTCTGACCTGACAATCTGTTTGTAACAACTTGTCGGCCATTCATCTACAGGATAGGCATTTTACTTTCAGTGTAAAAAAGTGCCATAAGAATTTGCTAAAATTTGCTTCAAAGGAGAGAGAAAGAGAAAAGCTCTTCTTTATTGCGTTTTCTTATTTTATCAAGTCATGTTATTGTGCAAATCCAAGGTTAATGTAGGTTGTTATTCCTTAAAATTCTTTGCATTACCTTTGGTTTTTATTTATTTTATGACGTGCACACTTAAAAGGTAGTTTTAAAAACATCTAACAGGAAGATTCTTATCATAATTTGCAGTTGCTATCACCTGCTATAAGATTTATAATGATTGCAAATCCAAGTGCTGATTACACAAACCAAAAAATGGTGTCCTCAAGACCTCCCGGTCAAGTTAAATTTTATTTTTTGCATTTTCAGACAAGCAAAGGCAAGTTTGAAGTGTGTATGGAATGCAAGACACACAGTGGAGGAAGGGACAGAAGTTATTTTTTCTGCACCTTTCCCCATTGCGTGTGTCATTCTCTCCATGCCCGCGTCATGCTAGCCAGAGCAAATGCAAAAAATAGTGTCATTTTTGCAGGCTAAAAGTAGCTTATCAACCAATTATAATTAAATCCACTGCTAGGAAATAACTGAACTTAGAATCACTAGCTTGGTTACTTTTAGGTTCAGGAGGCCCTCTTCCCTTTTAAACTTTCGTTGTTCTACAGCTCAAACCTTACTCAAACCAGCAGCACAATTTTAAAAAAGTAAACAACTGAAAAACGATAGACTGACTTTTGCGAAGACTACATTAAATTAATTGTATTAAAATAAGGTGGCATGTCTGAGGAGTAATTCATTATTATTATAACCAAGTATTGTTTGCTATTACACAAACTTTATCCATATGCCATTTAAAGGTAAGACATTTTACAGGAATAAAAAATTAATAAGCCATTTCAACTCATGTACAATCTTTATAGTTGTTGATTGTAACATTTATGTAGCGTGCAGTGTATGCTGCTTTCCTGAAAGTGCAGTGTAAATGTTTCTGATACTACATTTCAATTGCATCTAAGTTATACTATGGCAAAGAAGAACTTTTAATTTTATTAGCAGTTACAACTTTTAGCAAGATTCAAAAAATTAATGTGGTCTCTTGCCCCTCTAAACAATCTTTTTCGACCACCAAAATTTTAATGGTAACAGTAATGTGAACAAATATTTATTGTAAGTCATGCATGTAAATAAATTAAAAGTTGATTATTAGCAATATCTATTACCAGTCATCAGCTTTACTTTTAAGTAGATTGTTAAATTTTCATAGGGAATATTGCAATGTACCTTATACAGTGTCTCTGACAGAGAGATAATCTGAACCACTAAATCTACAGGTTGTTTTCAGTTTGATGAAGCCTCCAACGCTGGGTTTCATGCCTGCTATTAATAATGCACCTTTTTTAGATTGTGTATATGCACTGGGTTTTTTTCTTTCAATCTTGTTATGTGACAAATCAACCATAGAGGTCAGAAAAAAAAATCGTTTTGCTGAGCTTTAAAGTGCAAACTCTGAGGGTTAAATTATTCTTTAACAGTTAAATCATATGCTGGTCTTGGAGCCTAATCTCTACTCAAATTCGTTGGAACTTTAATTAATGATCCTCTTTGTACTGAAAGACCTTTCACTGTATACGTCCCTGCGAGCAGTGATATCTCCAAGCTGGATGCTATGTTGTGTCCAGCCTGGAGAAACCACTGCTCGCATGCATGGGTACTCAGTGTAATGAATACCCAGTAATACATTTATTCGTTATAGGAGTTGTAGTTCTGTATAATAGTTTGGAATAACATGCTATAATATGACTTGATCCTGTTACAACAGTCATATTTTTCCTTCCAACTAGGCATGTGGAAAGTTTATCAGGGTTCCTCGGTACAATCATCCTGGCAGATTATACCAACTCATCTTCATAATTATTGGTTTGATTTGAGGTCATGTAAAACAACTACAAAAATAATAACTTACAGTCACTTAACCTCTTCATATGGACACCCCACAATATGGCCATCACTCTTTTACAGACAGTTGGTCCCAAAGATTCCTGACCAAACTTCATTCACGCAAAATTGATTCCTTCCTTTACAATGCAGCCATGCAACTTTTAAGGAAGTTGTTTTGCTTTGTCCTTTTCTTTGTTGTCCGTGTTAAGAGGTTTGACTGTTCATGGGTATTGTTACTCTAAACAGGAGGCCATTTTTAAAGTTGTTCAGGATTGATTCATTGATTTTAGCTTTTTAAAGCATACCTTGACAAAATAATGCAAGTAAATAAATTTACTCATTAATTTTCTCATCAAGAGAATAAACTGTAATCTAAAGAACAGAAGATCAAGTTGTTATTTATGATGATGATGATAACAGTGATGAGGTCCTTCTCATTAGTAACTCTCACAGGACCTGTACAGTGTACAGTCAACTCCCTTTATAGCAGACACTGTTGGGACCTCGAGTGGTTGTCCTTATTAGTGAGAGACCGTAATAGCCGGAGTTTATTTCAGTCAAATGTCAATAATTATTTATTTTTGCCTGGGATTTAGATGCTGTCCATTTTATTGGGGCGTCCATTATAGTGGGATGTTCACAAGACAAGAGTTGACTTACATGCAGGTAATAGCGAGGAGAGGTGTGACGTCATGTTACCATAGTAGCAAAATTCCTGAATCTCAACAGTCTTTGTTGACAGAGATGGCCATTTGCATTGTTGAAAGATGGAAGAAAAGTATGGGCTATCATTAATTTTTGTTTCTGGGTGCAATCATGCACAGGAAAGTCCTGTCAATTTTTTCATTTTCTTTGTTTTCTTTCCTGCAATATTTGCAGGACCACGGTTTGTTGAGATCCAGGAATTTTGTTACCATGGTAACATGATGTAACGACTTCTCCTCTCTATTACATATTGGTGTGCATACTAGAGTGTGGATGTGTAGTGGGAAGTGCAGGAGGGATGGAGTGAGGGTGTGTTGTTCTTTGATCAAGCATATGTTTTGACCAAAAAATAAAATGCCTGATCACAGGATGGAGAGGTATAATTTCAGCTAAACAAGTCATCCATAAGAATTCAACTCAAAACTTGGGTTTTAATTCACAACTCAAGATTCATACTATTAACAGACAATAACCATCATGAAAATGGTTGAATGTTCCAGTTGAATGTACCTTTACCCCTTATTTTCTCGCTGAAATTTCAAAATATAATATTAACTTGATGGATTTGAATAGTTTGGTAGAAGTCAGCTAACTCTTTCCACTTCCCAGAAGGAAGTAACAAGAAATCTTTGTTCACACACTTAAATTAAACTCAACCTTGTTCCCAGGGTCCTCTCCTACTCTCTCTCCCCAGTCTGGAGAAGAGTAGGAGAGGACCCTGCAGGAAAGAGGTAATGCCTTAACCCTTTAAGCCCTAAGAGTGATCAACATCAAATTTCTCTTTGTAATATCAATGCTTTATAAAACAGAGTGGTCATGAGAATTACAGACATGATCACACAATGAATCTGCTTGATATTTCATCAACTTCTTCCCAGTACTTCTGTGGGAAATGAATAGGGGCTGAAAATGAGAATTCAAATTTGGATCTTAGGGTTTAAAGGGTTAAACTGATGGATGTATTACTTCAATACAACAAGAACTAAGGGGTTGCCTCCTTGGTAGCTGTCAATGTAAGGAGGAAAATTAAGGGAAAGGAGTCATTTTTTTAGACCCTAACAGTGTCCTCCAGAGGCATGGCTTGGGACCAGTGAAACTTACTATAATGGTTGTCCTAAAAGTGCTTGCTACTAACATACATGTACAGCTGGGCAGGTTCTCTGTCCACCTACTTTAAATCTTGTGGAGAACCAGCAGCCTGCCCTTAACTTCCTCATTTTACACCTGCCACATAAAGGGTAAACTTGAAGGTTCCTCATTTTAAATTTACACCTTTAGACAAGGCATCTTTTACTGTTTATGTCTTTTTCCATCTGGCTCTAGGTAAACTATAAACTGTAATGTTGATATCTGTATCTTGAAAGACTTCTTCTATGATGTTTCGTACTTTGGGCCACTCCAGCCCATCTAGACCGCAACCAATCATTGGCATTGACAGGCTTGTTACACCATGACTGACACAATGACCCTTCATTGCTTGCAGTGATGATTGCAAACTTGGGTATGTTGGCTTGTGAAAGTATTTTTCCTTGGTAACCTAACAAAAATAATATTATTATTATTAGGAGAGTGATAATTATTAATTAATAATTATGTTAATAGAGTTGCTACACTTAAGTGGGTGAGCTAGTTGATAATATTATCCCCTCACACTTATTTAAAAATAGCTTCACTGTATGTGGTTATAAAGCAGTTTGTTCACCACCCTACCACCAATCCTAGATGAGTCACTAGTGAATGACTTGGGGTTTAATGGGTTGCAAATTGCACAACTGCAATGAAAAAGTTTGCAAACTCATGCAGGGCCCAGAAAGGAGATATCGACTTCATGATGTGCAACTCTGCAGAAATACAGGGCTGTATATCACTATATACAATGTCGAGGTGGAGGGGATTCAAACAGCTAGGGATTTCTTTTGGTTCCATTTTCCTTGTAGCTATGAATCAAAGTAGCCGGTTTTCAACTTCATTGTAGCTAGGAAAAATCTCCAGGTCCCCAAATGATAGCTCTGGAAATTCTGCAATTTTTATGGACCGTTACACGGCAAAATCAAAAACAAAATAATAAAATCACAATTATTTTTGGAGGTAAAACATTCAGTGATTACAGTCGAACCTCCCGTAAGCGACCACCCAAAAATGCAAATACTTAGTGGTCAATAATGGGAGGTGGTCACCTACAAGAATTGAACCACAGGGGACCCTTATCAAGAAGAGGTCCGGGCACATCTAATTTATGGAAGATACTTAATTGCATGCAATTTCTAAGTTACGCCATGTGTAGTTCCCTGTTGTTACAAAAGTTCTTCGTATACATTTCTAGGTAGCATAGTGCACACAGTGAACGTAGAGATCAGAGAATGCATCGAGTGGTTGTCAACAGTAGGTTAAAAACAATGGAAAATCCTTAAACTTTCAGGCCCAAAAGTGGTCGCGGTCGGTTATAGGAGGTAGTCGTTTACTAGAGGTTCAACTGTAAGTCTTTGACTGGGAAAGTTTGGTGTTTTGGATAGGCGGTCGCTTGTGGGAGGTGGCTGCTCGTACATGTAGGTTCGGCTGTATTTAATTTGCTAACCAGATAGTAGATATGTCTGTTTCCTCTTCTTAGAATTGCCACACCTCCTGGTTTCTGCCCTAAAATTTAAAATTAAAAATATTGGTAGCAATTTCAGTACACTGAATGCAGTTGAAAAGATTTTATTGTAATGGTATGATGCCTTAAACTGACCTGACTCACCTGTTTGCAGTGATCAGGCTACGACTGCATCTTAATTATTTACTATTGCCACATTAAGTTGAGATTATACTTACACTTGAGAAAAATGAGACATGTTCAACAGACCATAATGTCAGTTATGAACAAGATATAATTTTATGTTTCTCCCTTATTTTTCCTTGTACAAATGGCACACTACTATCAGGCAGACTTGTTGCTTGATATTTTCTTGGTGATACTCAACAAAGTTTTATAATTATTAGGCATAACATTGATTTGTTCCCCCGACTGAGAGGTCCATTACCTTAGCCTTTTCTCTTTGTCCAAAAGCCAAAAGGGTACACCCTTTATGTTGGTTTAAACAGCCTGTTTGCTGGTGGTGCTGTTATTTAAAGGAAAATTGTTTTAACAGCAGAAATGAGGGCCTAAATAATTTGTAGGGTTGTAATCAGGGGCAAAGAGCTTGTGGTTATATAGCCCCAGATAAAGGTTCCCAGCCACTGTATGACACTGAAAATTGTGCTACTGTCAGTGTAGATAGATAAGTTAAAATAAATTACAATGTTAAAAGTACCTTGTGATTTAAGCTCATCCACACCCCCAAATTTTGTCTTAAAGGAAACAGCTATTCCTTTTCCCATTCTGACATCCGCACTGATGCAGTGAGCAAGCGATTCACTATCAGGGCATGAAAATAAATTCCCAGTCCTTTCAGTCAACTTATATGATGCTTCAGTGCCAACAACCTAATTAAAAACATTTTTAAAGAGGAAGAAACATGAATGAAGTAGAACACTGTATATGTGTTGTTTTTATTACACTTACACAGTTTATTTATTCTGTGGCTTACCCAAGCGAGAAATAGACAAGCTGCAACGTGTTCAGAACTGTGCCACACGCTTGGTTTCAGGAATAAGATCTGACCATGTAACTCCTGTCATGAAAGACTTGCACTGGCTTCCTATTGGTGCATGCATCGATTTTACAATATTGCTTTTAACATTTAAAATTTTAAATGATTTAGCTCCTTAGTATTTGACTTCACTCCTTCTCAAATACCAGCCAGCTCATTTACTCCACTCATCTAATAGATTACTTTTACAAGTTCCTTCTGTTAATACCGTGGCTTATGGACACCACTCATTTTCCTATTATGCACTGATAATCTGGAACAGTCTACCTGATCATATCAAAAACTCTGAATTTGTTTCTACTTTTAAGCAACGTTTGAAACCTTAGGAATAACTACTATACAGAGTTTCATTTAGACTTTATTTACTATTGTAAGCGCTTTGAGGATTCTTTAAAATTATGCACCATAAAAACCTACTATTTATCATTGTTATTACTTAATATCCAACCCTATTGGAAAAGACAAACAATTATTATTGTTACTCCTGTAAATACTCTTACTGTCATAGCCATTCATCAGACACTTCTATTATGAGCAGAGTTAATACGGCAGCACTAAAACATGGAATCCGGAATCCGGAAACGGAAACGGAATCACGGAAACGGAAACGGAAACGGATACGGAATCTGTGAAAGAAGGTTCCAAGCGATCGATTTGAAAAAATATATATTAGCAATGACAATAAAATAAATAAACAGATAAAAAAAAAGACACAAATGAATAAATTAGCTGAGAACAGAAGAGGAGACTGCTGTATCACTAGAGGAGTCGATTCCGGTGAAAAGACGCTTGATACCACTATTGGCAATAAATGCAAATTCTCATGGGACAGCAAAGCGAGGAGAAAAACGTTACTGACAAAAACTAGTGCCATTTTAGAAAAAGGTAAGTTATATGGAGACAGACTTCGTTTGAATCGTCAGAGGCGTCGTTTATATAACTGAAAGGCGTCGCCGTCAAGTTTTTCTTAGTGTCTTTTCTGGGTTGTCTTCAACAGTGTTCAGTTTTATTTATCAAGACAACTTACTCAAGAGAACCATGGCATTGTGGAGTCCAAAGAGAAGAGAGAATTGTGCATGCATTTGCTTGATTCCGCAACCGATTACATCAAAATAATGCGCCATGTTTAATAAGCCTCTTCAACAAAAATACGGACGTCCACGTAAACTCAATTACCGGTACACCAGTATTCCATCAGTATTCAGCTTGGCGAAAAAGTTGAACTTATTGCTAAAACACCGGAACTGTGGTCACGTCACCGGTCGGTCATGTTTGGCGTATTCAGTTTGGGGACAATCACGTGGTGTGGTCTGAGGCTAACTACTACTATTCTTGACAATTAGCCACAAAAGTAATATTTCACTGTATTATTCAACCCATGAACTTGTGAATAAAAATTACTCGTAAAATTACTTTGATCGGCCTTGCAGTGCAGTAACCCACACTACGGCAAACCTTATCAAGACACAATAACAAGAATGTACCGTAAATTTCTGAAAATAAGCCCAGGGGCTTATATTTTTCAAAGGCCCTTTTTGGGGGGCTTATTTTTGGAGGGGCTTATACATGGAGGGGCTTATTTTGGGAATTTTACGGTATTTAAGGGAACTGCCAAGAAAACTAAGACAAATTCTCTTTGGATTGTACTAAATTGTGTAATGTGAAATTCTTTAATTTTCTGTCATTGATATTTGATTCCGTATTCCGTTTCTGTTTCCGTTTCCGTTTCCGTTTCCGTTTCCGTGATTCCGTTTCCGGATTCCGGATTCCATGTTTTAGTGCTGCCCGAGTTAATATTGACAGCACATTATTAGGAGTAGGGACAAGGGGCGGGGGGGGGGGAAGCCTGGGAGAATAGGGACAGGAGAAGAAAAGGCAACAAGTGGGAGTTCTAAAAGGGTGGGAAGTGGGAGAAATAGGGGGAAAACACACATTACTATACTTAATATTTTGCAATCAAAAAAGGGCTAAAGGGAGAAAGCCAAGAAAACAATGGGCAATAGCAAGATAGGGGAGGCAGGAGGTTTGGAACTCCCTTCCCCTCTCCCCTCTCTCCCCTCATCTCAATGACTTTTACCTTTATACAATAGACTGTGAATTCCGTTGCAACTTGGGTGCTTAATTGAAGGAAGCCATCATTTCAAGAGGGCACATTATGCACCTATCAATGTAAACCCCGTGAGAGTGGGGAGCGTGGGCAAAGGGTGGGGATTTGAACAAAAAGAAAAAATTTTGGACAATTTCTCGTGGGTGGGGAGGGTACAAACATCACATAATTATAGCTAAAAATCCCCACCCAGGGGCCTATACCTTTCATGATGAATGTCACAAACCTGATTTAAGTTATCTCTATTATGAGGAAACATGATGTGTACCCCTACATTTTCTCTCCATAATAAGCAACACTCCACTTCACATGTTTTCTAACCACTGTTATGTAAAACTCTTTCTTTTAATTATCTTCAAAAATAAGTGAAACTTATCTCAGCTCCTGATATAATTATGTATTCCATTCATATGTAAAAGACTTTGTGCTTCTATTAAATATTTCATTATAAAATAACTAAGATAGTACGCGCGCTCTGATTGGCCGACAGGAGTGTTTGCATGAGAGTATGTAAACATGGTTGTGGCGTCAAGTTGTTTGATTTTTCGCGCGCTAATCACGCAAGCACAAATTTGAAAAAGTTTTCGAGTTCAAAACTCAAAAAGTTTACTTTATTTACCCATTCCTTCGTCGGCTGAAACTTGGAAAATCGTTACAAAGAAGGTGTGTACATTTTTCTTTGCTTAAGATGACCGTTTTAAGCAAGAAAAATCCGTATTTTGCAAAGCATCTTTTTGCAGAAGAACTGATTACGCGTGCAAGACTTCGTGGACAAGATTTTGCGACTGGTAAGAATTTGTCTTTTAATCAGCAGTCCCATACAAAGAGTTTTGCGTTTTTTTCTCGGGAAAGTTATTTTATAAAAGCAATAGAACACTTTTTTTCTGTGTTTGCATAGCCTGATATAAACACTCGAGGCGTTGGGAGAATTCTCGACGGTTATGCAAACCCTCGACTTCGCCTCGGGTTTGCATAACTGTCTCGAATTCTCCCAACCCCTTTTGTGTTTATATCAGGCTATGCAAACACGGAAAACGTCTTCTATTGCTTAAATAGCATAAAGAGTCACCTTTACCTCAGAGGTTTACATGTACATGCAAAAGAAGCAAAGTTATAAGATGGTCCCGAAGTAGGAAATGAAAACTGCACCATATCAAACAGCACACCTTTTGGTGATTTTTGGGATTTGAGGTGAATGGCCGGGCCCCAGCAGGGTGAGTGCAATGCCACTAGACTTAAGGTCTAATACCAAACACACACAGACAGTTGTTCACCAGCACAGAAACTGACTGGGGAATCAATTTAACCCCCAGCCCTACATATACAGTGTATGCAGGACACCCAGGGGATGGATTTTTCATCAAATCCCCGCCTAATGCCCCACACTCCCCCCCCACCCCAGGGTTTACATTGATAGGTGCATTAATAGTAGCCCTTAAATGTCTGTCAGAGTGTCAGGCCCGTTTCAAACGTCGTGCTACTGCCGTGCAGAACTAAATTGACCGAATCAAACTCAACTTTAGCACAGCATTAGTGCGACGTTTGAAACCAAGTCGTGCTACTGCCGTGTAGCATGGCAAGCTTTGCCGTGCTACACGGCAGTAGCTCTACTTGGTTTCAAACGTCGCGCTAATGCCGTGCCACTTCTGTGCCGAAGTCAATTCATAAATTATGAATACATTAGAATACATTTAAAGTTTGCTTAATCGTTTCTTTATTTTTGTGTTTTGTTTTCGGCAACAGCTGTTCTATTCGACTGAATTAAATTTGACGTCTGAAACCAAGTCGTGCTAGTGTCATGCTGCAGTCGAGCTATAGTAGAGCCAACTTAGCACGGCAGTAGCACAACGTTTGAAACATGCCTCAGTCATGAGTCTGAATCGTCTTTATTTGAAGTCAACGCCGTTAACCCTATATCCTATACAAAGTAATGGTCTGTAAGTGAAGCTGGCGTAATCATGTTAGCGCTTAATATTACATGCATAGGGACTCTTGAAAGACTTCAAAGATTGCGATTATTCAAAGACACTACACCTTACCTCTAGCTTTTTTATTTTGCTGTCTTTTGCGGACACTTTAGTAACATCGCTGAATTTGGAAACTAACTTGTGCTTTCTAGTAAGGATAAACCAAACACGTTATTACAATCAAGCTCATCCTGATCTTTAATTTCTAATGAGGAAAAGATAGTGCGGGTATTATAAACAGGAAGAGGTCGAGATCTTCAGTCACCCCGGCCTAGCCCGCACTCTCGCAGCTCGTTTCGCTTGCCACGTCCTTCTTAATAATTCTTCAGTCCTTTCCCTCTTACTGTATTTTACGGCCAGTCAACTCTAACGAATGAAAACACAGTTGCTCATTTAGATTGTCCACTGCGGGTCGGTTATTTAAACGAAGTCTAACTTAGGACGCGGTTTAAGACTCTTACATCGCCTTGTCTGCAATTTGTTCCAGTTGCAATTTTTTATCAGGTCTCTTGCTCCAACTAAGTCAAAAACATTTATGGAAATGTGACTAGCAAATCATTGGAAAATCATACCCTGTATGCAATGGAGCGCTCTCGGCCATACTCAGGAATACAAGCCTGTAAACTTGCAGCATGGAAAACATGAGAAACAGGGAGAATTCACGAGGCCGGAAGTGAGAAATACTATGAATTGAGGTTAACCCCGGGGGGGTACTCCCATACATTACCTATACGGGTATGTGCCGCCCAACGGGGTCGTGATTTTGAAGCTCCTGATTTAGAACGGGGTATCCATTTCAGAGACGTTTTCTAGAACGGGGTATAAAAAATTGTGGATCACGGCTTTATCTTCTGCTTAAAATTGTTGCTGATTATGAAGAAGCATTTATTTGATGTATAAGTCGAACAAATAAAGAAATATCTTTTTAAAAAAATCGTTTTGTTTCAGGAATTTCCATATCATTTAAATGTGAATGCCACATTTTAATGCAAATACAATACACAAAGAATCTTATCCCCGGGAGATTTGAATTGGGTACAACATTGAGTTAGCCGAATAGGTCTATTGGGCCTGTACACACAGGCTGTTAAGCAGACAAAATTCATAAGATTTTTAAGACAAACTAGTATTTCTGGGTTTACGGCAATTCTCTCTTTAGCCTGAGTATCAGGCCTTCCTAAGGGGCTAGGGGAGAGGAGATTTTAGATGGGGGAGGGGGAGGGGGAGAAGAGAAAGGGTTTCTCTGCTTCACCTCTCTCCCTTTTTCGCTTCCATCTTACCCCTTTTCCCCAGAAACGCCTGATACTCAGGCTATTCTCTCTTCATCGTGACAGTCAGTCAGCCCTGCCCTCAACCCCTCATCGTCCCCCCCCCCACCCCGCCGCAGCCCGCTTTAATCGGTTGGTACGTTATGTATGGGCTTTGTAGGCGTCCCGCGCCGGAAATGATTTAATCACGTGACAAAGAAGCTCTCTCCAGAAAATCCAGTTCCGCCTTGTCCCGCTTACATATGTAGACTATGCGAAAGGCTGGGAAAATTTCTAATATTCGGCTCCTTTATCACTCCTTATCCGAACAAATAATCGCAGATAACCTCGCTTCCTTAAAATTTCTTTGTGGTGATTACTTAACTCCGGTGAGGTTGGAAAAAATTGACAATGCTAAGCAACTTTTATCGGCGATTGGGGAGGTCGTCGAAAGCGAATCCAAACAGCTTGAGTTGTTACAAGAACTTTTTGAAGAAATCGGCAGGAGAGATTTAAAGTCAAAGGTCGAAGAATTCCAACAGTTAAGAAAAGGTAGGTTACTTTATTCGCTCAAAAATACGATTAATTATCAGCTGGTTTCAACGAAAGTGAAGACATGAAATCCGCAGCGAGGGGCCGGTGTGGGGGAATTGGGGGTGATAGGACCCCGGGGGGGTACCTTAGGAATTTCTGGGTGGGGATCAATCAATCAACTTTATTTAAATACGGTAAATGGCTCAGCAAGCTGGTTTTCAGACATGCCGTGTAATAATTACAATTTAAAAATTCGACGTGTCTAGATACCCGCAGCCGGGAACTGTTTTCAAAAAACTAGATACCCGGCAGTCAGAAATTTTGACCAATTTTCTCCAAGTAGTTCGTTTAATTCCTCTAAGAACATAAGATATTTGTTTAGAAATCTCAAGCGATTATAAATATTGCCTTGGGTTAAAAGTAGAAGCGACTGTCGAGCTTGGGCATAGAGTGAAATCTCAATATCTTATGTTCTTAGAGGAATATTAAACGAGCTATTTGGAGAAAATTGGTCAAAATTTCTGACTGCCGGGTATCTAGCTTTTTGAAAACAGTTCCCGGCAGCCGGGTATCTAGACACGAGCTTAAAAATTAGGACTAGTGATTAACTAACAATAATTAGCACAAGAATTGATAATTTTATCTATTCCTATCGACTGTCATAAACGTAACTATCTAGCTTATATGGTAATCAAGACTAATAATAGCAGTAAAAAAAAAAAAAAAAAAAAATAATAATTTGAAATACAATATAACAGCAAGAAATGAGTAATAAAGAAATAAGATAAAAACATAATAAAAAGTTATATCCTAAGATATGGTGAGTTTAAAGCTAGTAAGATCCCCCATCTCATGTGTTTTATTTGACAGTTGGTTCCAAGCCATTGCACTCAGACAAGAAAATGAATGCTTAAGAAAATTTGTTTTAGGTAGTGGTAGTTGGAGATCATAGTTAGAACCCCTCAAATTATAGTCATGAATTTCCGAGGTTCTATGAAACCACTCCCAAAGGTACATTGGACAATTATTAATGAATATTTTAAACATCGTAACTAATAAGTGCAAGTGGGATGTGTCGCTGGGACCCTGGAACCCCTTAACCTATACCAGAACTAGTTCAGCTGAATTTTACTACCCTACACTAGAGTAAACTCCCCAAATCCCCCCTAACCTAGAGTAGCTGTTTTCCAGAAACTACTTAGGTCACTAGCACAGTCTAGCCAACACAAAACCTTATACCACAATCCCTAGTCTAGATAAAATATTCAACCAACTGATCAGTTTCCTGAAAAATGAAACCCTATTCTAGACCCAAACAGTCTGATTTATATACCCTATCCTAGAGTAAACTGCTTGAAAACCATACCCTTCACAGTGGCACATACCTATATAGCCCATATATGGCAGTACCCCCCCTCCCCACCTGGGGATAGGTCATCACTGTAATGGGTCATGTGGTGATGCTCTGCTTTTCGGGTAGAGTACCCGTATCCAATTTTTGTCAAGTTTGACTACTAGATGAAATAAGAATTATAACAACTTTTGTTCCATGTAACTGTAGTTTTGCTTCCTTTGAATGCACATTTTTAAGGGGGACCGGGGAGTAGGAGTATGAAAAGGTAAAGTATGGGAACATGGCACCCTTAGTACACTATAACTTCACCCCTTTATAGAGTGTTTTCTCTGTCACACAATTAAAAAAATAAATTTGAAACTGTTCTATGAAAGAAGCCAAGAAAATGAAATGTTACAGAAGACTCCTAAATAAACAACATACATGTATGCAAGTCTCAGGTCTGTGCAGCACAACATTGTTGTAGTTATTTTCCCAAAAAGTTTCATTCAATGTTATAGAGATTTTTATTGTGATGCCTTGCTAGTCTACCAACATGCAGAGATTCCAACCCTCCCAATTTGATCGGTAGTCTCCCGATTCTGGAATTCTGGAAACAAGGAAAAAATTGCTTATCTTAAGTATTTTTTTGTGATCTGAGTGTGAGATGTTACGTATTACACTTTCCTATCCTATAATGTCTCACCAAGTCTCTCCAATGAATACCGCTGTGGTGTCAAAATGCAGTAAATGCCACTTGAGACAAATTAAATTTGCCAAATTTCCTGGTGGGCATACCCCAGACCCCCCATAGAGGCTCACACCTAAGGCGCTTGTGTGAGTGCCTTCAGCACTAAAAATTACTCCCTATCTACCTTTAAAAGTGTTTGGAATCTCTGCAACATGGGACACCATTATGGTGACAAGAAACTAACAGACATCTGAATGGATTTCACTTTTGCAATAAAAATGCTTTCTTTTTGTTTGTGAGCTAACTCAAATGCACATTAACACATTTTTTTGCTTGAAATGTTTAAACCTAATGAAAATCATAAGGAGAGAACTTTTCTTTAACCTGACATCTTTGGCAAGGCTACCACCATGGTGTCACACCCTGTGAAACTTTGGCAATTCACAATACTGTATACAGTATTTTCAAAATCAATAACGACTGGGAACTTCTACATTGAGTTATTTCCTGGTCACCTTCAACCTGGTGTAGATTAAAATTCAGAAGACCTCTTTATGATGATGTCATGGTGAAAACACTCTATATACTTCCTATTAATAATAAAATCCCTTAAACCACCACCAAGGCTTGTAAAACTTAACATGCTCTATTCATGGCTGCCCTGGCTGCCAGTCAATGACACTTGGCATGCTCTTCATTGATCCCAATCTGCTGAGTCCTACATGTGAGTCATGTACCTACATCTCCTTTTTTCCTTAAGGGCTGGGACGCAACATTCTTGTTCCCCTTAAAGTCATGTCAGCAGTAAAGTGTGGGTGTGACATTCTTGGGGTTGTTTACATAGAGAAGGAAGATCCTAGTGCCAGAAGGACCCTAGATAGCAGAATAACATTTCACTGGGTTTCCATGCAGAAATTCTGTGGTTGATTGTGATCATGTTGTAAGATATGTATTTGTCCCCAGCATTTTTGACTTCATCTCGCTTCTTTCCTAGGCACAGTTTCCACTCAATTTTTTGGTTTGACATCATATCTTGGGAACAGAACCACAGTTAAGACGCATTTTCCCATTTACTTTTTTTGTTTAGACCACATTAATATCCACCCATTCATCTTGGTTGGGATTTGCTCTCTTGCAAGTTGACTCCCAAAACTTTAACCATGGTGTCCTGCAAGAAAGGTGACTCGACCCAGTTATTTTGTGGGGGTACCATCCTACTTTGAAGTTCTCTGGTATCCCCACCTTTACTTTGATTGTAAGTCCAACATATAGCATGGATAATATATAGATTAACCTGCAATATAGCATAAAATTTTTGGCGATCAGAGTAAATGTCACGTGGTTATAGTGCCACACCTCTTTCAGGTCTGAGTCGAAATTCTGCTGTTGCGGCTTTTTTTCATGAAAATCTAACGGCTACATATAGTGGGCATTCGTGCCTTGCGTTGAACAGAGTTTCCCCAAAATCGCAAAGACCCAATTCGGGAAATTCAGCAGTTTACAAATTTAGGTCATAATTTATGTGGAAAAGGCACAAGAAGGACCAGAATTGTTTAAAAATCATGAGTTAAACCTTTAATAGCCTGTGTAGCTGGCGGTATTGTGTAGTAGTCGAGTGAGATTTGGCGGCGGAGCCGTTGTAATATATTCAAGTGAGATTTGATGGCGGAGCCGTCACGCGCGGCGAAGCCGCGAGAAATACCGCCTGCCAGAGAACCATGATTTTTCGAATGCCGCCCACTTTTGTCACCTTAGCTGATCCCAATTAAATCAGCAATTTGAAACTTCTGATTATTTTCACGCGAGACAGTTTAGAAATAAGCGTTGACAGGCTAAACACAACTCCTAAGCTCGTGATAATGTGAAACTTGACCTTGTGAGTTTGGTTGAATTGAAGTTTTTTTACTTTCTCAGCTCTCGCGTGAAGGTTACTAGCATTACACAGTGCAAGTATCATTCTAAACTTTGACTGAGTAAATCTTTTTTTGCCACACTAGGCTTAACATTAAAAGGTCATGAAGCTGGTTTGTTACATGCATACTGAGTAACCATTTCCAGTGGTTTATTCTTCTGTAGGTGTTCCTTATAGGATTTGATCTCAGATGCAGTTGTAAAGTGTTCTAATTTTCTTTGACCTTTGTTTCTTACCGCTAAATAAAGACAATTCCAGCGCTGTGAAGTTTAAAGACACCATTTCGGCTATTTGGTCATCAATTATGCTGTTTTAAAGGGGAAACCACAATCACTTACGTTTTCCAGTTTGCCATCTGCTCCCTTAATTGGGAAATATATGCGAAGGATCATCTAACATGATTGACATATGTATGGCCCTCGACCAATCCGTTTCCCCGCACACTGGTGTGCGGACTATTCAAAATACCGGGGTTTTCTGGCAGGCGGTATTTCAACCGCCTCGTCCCTACTCCCTTTTTTTTGGAACACGGCTCCGCCGCCAAAACTTTAATCTCGCACCCACACAATACCGCCAGCTACGCAGGCTAAACCTTTAAGTATCACACAATCGCCTGTCTCATCTTACCAAAATTATCATATCTCGGTGAGCATTCGATAATCAGCCAAGCGCGGTCATTGCACGCATACTGAACAAGACTGCTGTATCATGACAGACTAGAAACAATAGAGATCTCCCAAAGTGCGAACTCAGCCAAAACGCTAAAAATCTTCAATGTTTACTCCAGTTTGGGCGCACAGAAGATAATGTCACAGTTTTTCAACAACCATGAAATTCAGAATCTGGGTAGTTAGTTAATCAATTGTGTCCCCGAAAAAATTTGAAGGGAAAAAAATACGAATTTTTAAGAAAATGCTTTTTTTGTGAGAAGGACTCTTAAACGCTGACAAATGTCAACAAATAGCTAAAACTCTAAATTATTTCTATATGTTTGCATTGCTTGAAATCGTGTGCATTTATAAGGCCCTAAAGCTTTTTACTGACTTGCAAGCTAGGACTCATCTGTTATACAGATCCCCAAAATAAAGGGATAAATCTTATAGTTTATCAGATATAATCGTGTAAAGTTTGCTTATCATTTTCATTTAAGTTATGACCTAAATTTGCAAACCGCTGAATTTCTCGAATTGGGTCTTTGCGATTTTGGTGAAACTCTGTTCAACGCAAGGTACGGATGTGCACGATATGTAGCCAAGAGATTTTCACAAAAAATGCCAGCAACAGCAGAATTTCGACTCAGACCTGAAAGAGGCATAGCACTATAACCATGTGACATTTACTCCGATCGCCAAAAATTTTATGCTATATTGTAGATTGATCTATATGTTATCCATGCTATATGTTGGACTTATGATCAAAGTAAAGGTGGGGATACCAGAGAGCTTCAAAGTAGGATGGTACCCCCACAAAATAACTGGGTCGAGTCACCTTTAACTCAAGCTATACTCCTTCCATGGGATGCCAGGCCAGGCAACATTTTAACTTCAAATTCTGTGTTATTTCTATCAATAGCAGCTGTCGAAGCCAATGATTGTCACTCGGGGGAGTTAAATATCAATGATCCACCACCTTTATCTGCTACCTATGATAGACCAGAAACCTCTTTGCAAAGTGGAGAATCCCTTTTCCAACAAGGAACCTCAGGCAGGAAGCCAGAACCTTCTTTTATACATCAACATCATGATTCTCCACTGGAGACAGGAAGTGGTAGCTACAGCACAGCAGAAACCTCTTCTCAAGGTCAGTACCATATGTAGATGCTTTCGTGGGACAAGCAACAGAGAAACAGAGGGATCTGCATTGCCAGAAAATTTTTTAGAAAAGATGCTTGGGTGTTTTTTTGGCCTTAATTTTGTAGCATATTTTTTTGTTAAGAAGTTTGTTTTTAATTAATACGTAGGTACATGCGTAACAATAAGTCAACCATACATGTACCTTTATCAACCATCAAATGGTGGTTAATAAAATAAATATTTATTAAATTGCTAAATAAGACTTTTAAAGCTCTCATAATTTCCTCTTCCATGAGCATTTTTTTTCCAGTCTCTACCAAAATCCAGCTAATTGGCTTCAAACAAGTGTGGTTGAAGAACAACTCCAGAATTTAGAATGCTTTCTCCTTCCATGGGATGCCAGGCAACATTTCAATTTCAAATTCTGTTTTATTGTTTCTATCAATAGCAGCTGTCGAAGCCAATGATTGTCACTTGGGGGAGTTAAATGTCAATGCCCCACCACCTTTATCTGCTACCTATGATAGACCAGAAACCTCTTTGAAAAGTAGAGATTCTGTTTTACAATTAGGAACTTCAGGCAGGAAGCCAGAACCTTCTTTTATACCTCAACATCATGATTCCCCACTGCAGACAGGAAGTGGTAGTTACAGCACAGCAGAAACCTCTTCTCAAGGTCAGTACCATATGTAGATGCTTTCGTGGGATAAGTGGCAGAGAAAGAGATCAGAGGGATCTGCCTTGCCAGAAATTATGACGCTTGCATGGGAATGTTTTTTTTTGGCCTTAATTTTGTAGCATATTTTTTTGTTAAAAAGTTTGTTTTTAATTAATAGGTACAGGCTTAACAGCATGTGTAAGAATAAATCAACCTGACCTGACCATCAAAAATGATGGTTAATAAAATAAAATTAATATTTTATTAGATTGCTAAATACATTTTGTAAGGCTTTTAGAGCTCTCGTAATTTCCTCTTGCATGAGCATTTATTTTTCCAGTCTCTACAAAAATCCAGCTAATTGGCTTCAAACAAGTATGGTTGAAGAACAACTCCATGATTTAGAATGCTTACTGAACAGATGCCAAAGTTGTAGTTAAGATACTTTTACCACAGGCATCCCAAGCTTACGTCACCAGAGTCTAATGTATTTTACTTTCTCACAAGAGAGGCGGTGTCGCATTACAGGCGACCGTGGAGATGTTGTATGAGAAACAAAAATACTGAGGTCTGAGCACTAAATATCACTATAATTATCTTACCTTTTTTGTATAAAATAAATAAAGGAGACTTACCTTTGGTGTATTCCTGTGTCTTGGTTTGCAAAGGTGCAGTCAATATTTCTCTCTGATTTCATGTTTTATAGTTAGGGTTCTCTCAGGTTGACCACTGAAGTTCTGCCATAGTTAGAACAAAGTTTTAGACAGTTGATTATGACTACATTGTACAGCTTTATTAATAAGTGCATATACAGGTTTTTCTTTCTTCAAATAACACTAATTTTTGTTGGTCCACAACGGTTGTTAATAGTACATGAATCTCTCAATGGAGACGTATATTATTGGAAAAATAATTACAGTGTTAAAATAATGACTGTCCCGGCTCTTTCAAGTGAACACGTTTTTCTTTCTTTTGTCGGTGATTATATATTGTCTGCTATTATTATAGTGAGAAATTACACTGTATAATCTTTTGTCTAATTTTAAACAGGCACATATGCATTTGCTAGAAATAGTGCAGACAAATTTGGGCAGCAAGTAACAGAAGATGTGGAAAACCCTAGTCATAAACCTTGGGGACATGCGCCCACCGACAGTCATGAACCAGAAGTTAATGAACCAGAAGTTAATGGAATTGTCGAGAGTAGAGATCAACCAGATCGAGGCAATCCAGTTGCTCCTTCAGGGAGATCAACAGAAACATGTGGTTCAACAACAACTACAAGCTCAACCTTTGTTGAATCACAAGAGAAAGTTCCAGTTGAAAATTGCACAGCTACTGATTTGATTAATACAACCGACCTGAAATGCCCAGTTGAGATGAGCTATATGTGCATAAAAGAGTACTTTGGAATTGGTACAAAGGAATTGGGAAGAGGAGGCTTCGGAGTTGTATATGAAGGTCAGTGGGTCAAAACCTAACAATTATTATTGTACATGTATTTGCATGCTGTTTTATTGAATCTTGGTCAGCTTAGATTTCTTTTAACAGTTTTCACACATGTCAAGACTTAACCCTAACACTATTGTGGTCTCCTGAGGACTGTGACACATATTTTTCATGAAGAATTAGTTTAGACTGATCATTAATAGTGAGCTGGCCATAACTTCTCATGTAAAATAATCACGGCAGACTCTCCCAGAACTTTAAAACAGTGACAGCTCATGAAAAAAGAGATCATTTCCTCCCATGGATGTTGGAGACAGAACTTTGTGTACATTTTATCACTAGGCAACAATTATTATTTTTTACCATATTTGGAAGCAAACAGCTACTACCCCTCTGCTGTTCATAAGAATTAATGCCCACTTGGATCTCCTTCTTGGCCAGATCACCAACTTTTACCCTGCCATCTAGAGTTCGCCAGCATTATGGTTTTCAATGTTGGGAGCCCATTTCCTCGACGTTACGAACTTTTAACTCCAAACAGATGAGCACCCGGAGGATTTATTCCAGCAACTCATGGCCTTTTTCGAAGACAACTTGTTATCTGTTAACAGTGGCCTAACCCACCATGGGGATCCTGTGGTTGCAGATGAAGATCTTTCCCCATCACTTGAAAACACTATCATTTTTCTGCATTTACCACTAATTAACCAAGGACTTCCATTACTTGTCTCGCAAAAGTATGGTCCTGAAGACCCTTGCCTCTCTCAAGCCAAAGATTTCTCTGGCTCTCAGTTCTTTCCTCGATGAGCTATGCTCCATAGAAGGCACCGAAACTATGCCTGTTAGCAATGTCTTTCCATATTGCAGTGCTGATGAAAGACAGCCTATTCTTGTCTTGTGTTCTGTGCAAAAACTGCCGGTTGCCTCTCCAACACTCCTGATGTTATGGATTGCTGTTATCTGCCTGAGCATGATGGCAGATGTTGGGCACACTCTCAGTCAGCTTAAGAATTAACACTAACAAAAAACCCCATGGTAGAATGTTCCATCAAGAAATTTGGATTGGAACTACTCATCTTATCTCCTGAGGGAGGTCTTCCACTGTCCTTACCACCCCCCTGTGTGTTCACACACTGTAAAGCTGTTTTGGCACCTGGTCCTGTGCCTCTTGCCCACAGCCAGCTAGCTACCTCCTGATACCAGAGGGAATTGCACCCGCCTTGAGCCCTCCTGAAGCCCCCTTGGAGTGTACTTCCATATTTGGTAATGATGATGCAGCTCTTTTTCCTGCCAATAGAGTGCCTCCGAGAGCTCCATTTTGGAATAATAAGGACTTAGGGCTTTGAATGGTGTCCCCATTTGCTGTACCTCAGGACTCATTCATGAACTGCATATTTTAGTACTGCTCTCAAACAGCAAAGCTAAGGGGCAGAGCTCCCCACCATTACATTCAGTGTTACTAATTCAGTCTTTAGCCTTGGTCCTCACAGGGTGTTCATTAGGCATCAGAGATCGGAGAATTCTCTGTTTACTATGTAAGTCTCCGGCAAATGTTCAGTAGCCTATGACTATTTTTTATTCAGACGTAGAGCCTTTGTCCAAATATTCTCCTGTAACGTTACACCTTTCTCCTCGTACTAGAATTCTTAATGAAAACCCTGTTTTCATGTCCTTCTAGTATTGCTTTTTGTGTCTGTCATCATTGCATTTTAAACTTCCTGACTGAGTTCTGTCTATTTTACATGTAGGTACGCGCAAGTACAATGGTCAGGATGTAGTTATCAAAGAGGAAGACAGTACCCACATTGGACAATCTCACAGTACAAAACAGTTAAGAAGGGTAAGCTGTAAAGAAAGTGGACAGAGTGTTGGAGTTAATTAAATTGCATACTGTTAAGATTAATACACTGTATATTATTGCCTGAGGGTGCCATTAGCCACAACTGTTACCAGACTGTGTTATGTCAGGTATTCTTTGCTTTTTAAGGTCAACTATTAAGTTTAAAAAGGTTGGCTGCAGAATCTTGCACTCGACTGGCTACAACCTTGAACAAAACTGCTGAGACAGTTATATTTTCCCGCCATACTACTATCTCCTCTAAATAGAGAAAGTAAGCCCCCCCTCTCCCCCACCCCCTATTCAAAGTTGTCTTTGTCTAAAAACCAATGTGTATAATTCTCGTGCTATCCTAAACAACATTGGATAAGGGGATGGGGGAAAGGGCATTCATTTGTTGACGGTTTCCATTTTTGTCAGGATGACAGGTAAAAATAGGTATTTTTGTGATGTGGCTCAACAGGTTTTGTTCAAGGTTGTAGCCGTGTTCTCCCTTACATTCACTAGCTGACTATGTCTTATTTTGTTTTATTGTTTTTAATAATTGATGATAATAATGTTTTTCTTTTGCAGGAGAAACGAGTTGGTTATGTAAAACATCCTCACCTGATGCCTCTTTATGCATTCAGTGAAGAAAAAGGGTAATTTAATAGCACTTCATCATTCAATCTATTGTAACCCAGCTTGGCCCAGTTCTTTGTTCTTTCACACCACAGGCTGGTTTATATGCACACTCCCTATTTAAAAATTTATCTGCACTTTCTATTTGCCTTGAAAATATAATAGTTCTGTGGTCTTTTCTATTGAAATATTCTGTGGTGATAAACAGCAAGACCACCTTATGTGCCAAACATATGGATTATTCAAAAACTATATTTGATGGACAAATTCTTTTAAACACATTTGACCATCACTAAATTGAAGAATCCTTGATCATTAACCTTCAACACCCTTATTAATGAAATTAAAAAAGGATCACCTTAATGCTATGTATTGTAACCTTTATTTATCTACTTATTTACATATTTACTCATTCGTATTAATATTAATTTTAATCTCTTTTTCCTTGATGTTGTAAATCCCTTTTTTTTTCTGGTAAAAATGTCTTTAAATGTATCCGTTCACGTAGGTAGGATAACCACTGCAGACTGCCTGCCTTGAATAGCTTTAGCTAAATTCAGGCAGTGTGTATGTTTAATGCATTTTGTTGCTTTATAATAAAGTTGTTGTTGTTGTTTGCTGTTGTTAGTACATGTAGCTCCGTCATTAGTTTACATTTACTCTGGTTCATTCACATGACTCCTTGTAAGACCATGTGGGTATCCTACAATATATCCACAAACAAATTGCCCAGCCTGGTTTCCATACATTTCCATCAAGAATTAGTTGAGAAAATTTGATGAAAGATCGAAGAATTTTCCATGTAGTGATTTTTTTAATAATTCTCATAGCGTCTTCTCTTGATTATGTATATTGTATATGATTATGTTATTGATAGGCCAAAAGTGATGCTGGTCACTCTTAAGGACTTAAAGGGTTAAATACATTGTTACGAATTGATGATGATGATGATAATGATGATGATGATGATGATGATGATGATGATGATGATGACGACAATGACAAGTCACCAGTGGGGTTATGAAATGAGACCTTCAAATAAGTGTCACTTAAAATAATGAGCAAGATGAGAATGACGTAGACTCATTGTAACGTTGTCTCTTATTTACAGGAAACCATGCTGCCTTATGTATCCTAAAATGCACAGTGACTTAAGAACAGCCCTATTAAGGGACAAACATGGACAGGAAAAGTTGTCTTGGGAAAATCGTGTAAGGATAGCTCTTCACACTGCCAGGGCTCTGCAGTATTTACACACAGGTGTAAAAACTGAGAGAAATATCAGGTTTGTTTTCCAAACTTTTGTTAACATTATTCATCTAGCCATGTTGGGCAATACTACACAATTTAACACAATTAAAGAGGGCATGCCCCCTCCAAGGGGCACTTATTATTCAAAGGATGGGTAGGGGCTTATTTTGTTCTTCAATTTTCTGAATCAATGTGACATTTTCTGTTTCAAAAGTCTGCAAACGCACATTAAACAGGAAAGCTCAGTGAATGTATTTCTAACTAAAAACACAAAATTAATGTATTTGTAGGAGACTGTTACATCTTGCTAGAGTTTGGTTTCGACATCCTACCATTAAAAAGGTTCTATTTTAAATTCTTAGTTAACTAGTTATCCACTTCAATGTCAATCCTCAAGCAGTGTTGTCACAAGATCTGCATCTTTAACATTGGAAAGTGTGATGCCCTCAAATGGTTCGTTCTGCAGTGACTGTATGATAATGTTACGCCCTTATAATACTTTATTTTCATTAAAAATATACATACTTTAAACCCCAGATTTAGCAAGGAAGAGAGTGTGGGCATTTTAAAATACAGCCCTACAGAGGGTAGTCTGCTACACAGCCGTTTTTAGTATCGTCACGCAAGGAGCTTTGCGTGACGACACTAAAAACGGCTGTGTAGCAGACTATATAGAGGGCTGTATTTCATCACAAATAATAATGATAATAATAATAATAATTTAATCCCTTATATTGCGAAGTATTCATAGAAATGATTAAATGAGCATTACATTGCTAATAAAAGCATAAAAAAGCCTATTTACAATACGAAACACAAATTATAAGAATATATACTCTACTACAATGGAAATCTAAAATATCGACATGTCACTTGTTAAAATTCATTTGACTATAAGCACACTTAAAAAGGTACATCTGAAGATGGCGTTTAAAGCTTTCCATAACTTGGACGTAGCCACCTGGAAGGACCTATTGCCTAGTATGACCTTAGTTCTAAATGTTGGTGATGCTAGAAAAATCCCACCAGACAATCTGAAGTTATATGCGCCTTGTGATTTCAAAGAAAATAATGTGGGGCTATGCTTGAATTGGATGCAAATAACAAAATCTTAAAATGAAGGCGCTGCTTTTACGGAACCCAATGTAGCCCATACATCAGTGGTGTAATATATGCCTTGGTTGAAGCACAGGGTGCAACAAGCAAGCCTTGCTGCAGTGTTTAAATCACACCAAACTTTGTTAAGCTGTGAGGCAGGTAGACCATACAAAAGGCTATTGCAGTAGTCAACGCGAGAAGTGATGAATGAATGCACTAAGGTCTTAATTTCCTCGGGGCTTAGGAACTTGCAAATACGGCTGATGTTATGTAGATGAAAGAAAGCTGAGCTACAGAGCTTGCTAATATGAGTGTGGCAGGGTGCAGCAAGTGCTGTCCAATAACCCAGTCCTAGTAGAGCGACCTGTTGGGCTAGCATGTTTTAATAATTTATCACAAGTTGTTCAACAGGTAAGTAATATATTTGCCTTGATAAAGAAGATGCTGGCATGCGGTGAAAAGGGGTGACTGCTAGGCCTGCATGACTGCTCAGGGCCAGTAATCTCCAGCAACCATTTGCCCAAAGGGCAAACAATTTTTTAAATTTTCACACGGCACCCTGATGAAGGGAAGATGTCATAGCTATTCTTGTGCCCACATCTGTAGGGCAAATTGTAATTGTAACAGTCATTAGTACATTGGAGTTAGACTGTCTGTAAAGACATTAGATTGATGGCTGGTTGTTCGCTCAGTTTCATCTCCATTGTTCTGAAAAAATTAATTTAGGCTAACTTAATGTATTAACTTCTTTATTGTAGACAAGAGATTGTACACATGGATGTGAAGCCAGGAAACATTTTCCTCGATGAAGAATTCAATGCTCGTCTTGGAGATGCTGGAATGTCACAGGAGTTACCCACAGATCACTCATATGCTTCTATAAGCCAGATGCGTGGAACAGAGGGTTACAGTGATGTTCACTGCCATGATCTCCGTTTAAAACCTATCAACGATATTTTTTCTTTTGGAGTTGGTAGGTTACAAGATTGTTTTGTTTTTAATTATCACAAGGTCATCTTATAGCTAGCAGCACAGTGGATCAAATCTGCCCAAAATCATCTCTCTCAGTTTGTAGCATTTAAAAGTCAACTATGAAAAGGCCTGACTTCATTCACAATGGAGATTGAGTGGTTATGATCTATTGAAAACAGCTTTTCATCTTACCCTGAGACTCCATTGATTATGGTCTAGTGAAAACTATAGGCTGTTGGAGTTGCAACTAGAAGTAGAAGAAATAATTAACTATAATGTAGTCCTAAAACAAGGGTACAAGCATTGTGATTGGCTTTTCCTACTACTTTCTCCCAACTCAGGTAATCTGTTTTTCACTAGACTGTAACTACTTGCATACAGAGTTATAGGTGGGGTTGGAAGAAAATGAAACAGTCTGCGCACGTTGACATACAGCTGTACATGCCAACTCTCCCTGACTATCCAGGAGTCTCCCAGATACGTCACCGATCTCCCGCTCTCCCGTACGGGTGACCATATCTCCCGGATAAAATCATCTTCTGAGCTTTTTTGTGCATTAGTTTGAGATTTGGCCCATTTTTAGCTCAAAACTTGAAGTTTTCTTATTCACAGTACGGTGAAGTTTCTGGGGCATTTTTTCACGTATTTAGTCACTGACAAAGATTATTTCTGGCTTTAAAATGATTGCGAATTTTGATAGTATGTACTTCATGTAAGGCTTCATTTAATGTCCTAAGTCATTCCCATTGGGGAGGGCATTGAAATTCCAGGGGGGGGGGGGGTGAAAAAAAGAAAGTCTCCAGATTTTAGAGCTCCAGGGTTTGGCATCTCGGAATTGATTCCGGGGAGCTGGTGACTCTGCTTTTGGCTTCTCTTTGCATTTTTCGCTCAGGTCTGGGTCATAAGCACTCCACTTACAACTGTGATATTAATTCTTTCATGGGGGTGAAAAAAAGAGAGTCTCCAGATTTTAGAGCTCCAGAGTTTGGCATCTCTGCATTGATTCCGGGGAGCTTGTGACTCTGCTTTTGGCTTCTCTTTGCAATTTTCGCTCAGGTCTAGGTCATAAGCACTCCACTTACAACTGTGATATTAAGTCATTCAATCGTGAAAACCAAGTAGAATTTCTTGAAGCCGACCACTTAATACAGGATTGACTAGACTACTGTTGTGGGAACAAAAAGGTGACCTTAGTTAACATCCAGCGCCTTCCCCCCTGGGGTGAACAATCCACAGATCACAAAACTTTATCCTTGTGTGCATAATGTGTGAAACATTTTAAGTGCGCTTGATCTCATACTTAATGGTGCAAGAACTTGTGCACTGAATTATAATGTATGAGAGCTCAGCTTTTACAAAGTGAACGCATTTCATTTGTTTTCAGTCATGGTGGAACTTCTTACACAGAGGAAGGCAGTTGAAAAGACTGGACCCTTGTATCATGTTTTAAAGAAAGAAGGAGTTTTGTCGGATCCAGAAAGGTTGATGACAAAGGCAAAGAAGGTGAGTTGATTCTTTGAAGTTTACGATATTGATGAAAAAAAAAAAAGCAGCTAATTAGAAAACTTTACCCACACACTCAACAAATGATCATTATGTCATTTAGAACTGGAGTATCTACTCTCATTACACGTCTGGAACAAGGAAGGGTATTGTGTTATTCTAGAAAATGATCGTAACCTTCCCACAGGGGGTTTTAAACCCCCCTTCTCTTTGGAAATGTCAGTTTTCGTCATACTTCCCTTCAAATTTTGGCGTTTAAGACCTTCTACTCCTCAGAATTTGGAATAACTCTCCATGGAGTAGGTACAGATATATTCATGCACTTTACAAGAATTATGAATTTTAAGGTATCCTATCATTTTCTCTGCAGAATGTTTGGCCTGTAAAGGCTGATGACAGCAATGTCACCAAAGAATTCGCTGCAATTGCTATCGACTGTCTAAAACCACCAAGTGAGCGAGCTAGCATTCATAATATTTGCAAGAGGCTAGAGGTAAATAGACAATAGTACCGTCTATAAATCAAGCACTTGTGTCCAGGTAGAGGGTATTACATGGCTGCGCGCAACCAACGCAGAGGTCCATTATTAACGAAATAGATTCCATTTTGTTGCAAAGTTTGTGTCTCTTGTTTTTCTTTCTTGATGATGTCAACATGTGGCAACAGCATTATATTTGGTGTTTTCTGTGATCTGCTTTAAACTAAACAACAAAAAAAGGGAAAATGAATTGGCTTTTGTCAATGAATAGAACCATAAACCCGCCTTGTACCACACAGAGACGGTTTGAAATGCATGGCCCAACATTCACATGTAATTACAGTGTAATTACAGAATTCCTGGAACATCATTTTTCTTTTTCTTCGCTCAGGCCATACTAGAGAGAGAAAGAATTCACAAGGTTGCAAAGCCAAAAGAAGGAGTGAGCCGTTGTGCGTCTTGTTTGCTTAACCCTCCAGGTGAGGTCACGTGATCATTTTCTGTTCTATGGTTACAATCTTGGACAAAAATGTTAAAAAAAAATGAACGTTTCCATGTGTTGTTTCAAAATAATAAGCCCTTCACAGCACTGGCAAATACAAGTAGTTCCCCCTGATCTTCTTTTTCAGCTGAGCAGGTGATTCCCCCCAAAGTTCATTTTGCACTTTATCATTCATCAACTCAGTTGATATTTTTTGGGGTTTACAGAGGTGTATATAACGTCAAATGTTACCTTCTGGTCCTTTGCAGCTACTTTTAGTCATTGCCGTGGTATAAAACTGCCATTCTGAGTAGCAAGGGACGCACTGAGAAAAGACAAACAAAAGGCTTTTAATATTACATAATTGAAAATGGTTGTTTTCTTTTTTGTCTTCTCTCAGTGCGTTCCGTTCTTCAACTTGGCAGTTCGGTTGTACCACGTGATCGACTAGCTGCAAAGGGCCTATTGATTGCTCACAACTTCAATGAGTACTTAATAATTAATTTTCCATTTTTTTCATTTAGCAAAGTACTTGACTGTGAGATCCTCAGGCTGTGATAGTGTTCGTTCTGAAGGATGTAACTACTTTTGTGTGACGTGTTTAACACAAGCTCAGCGTAACCCACTAGAATGTCCCTCTCATGGACCTGCGGAACCTCTTATAGGTAAATATTCACCTTTTACAGCAGATCCAGTCCCGCCACAAGTCTGACAATTGGTGTATAAACCTATTGCTTCAGTTCCATTAATTTATGAATCTCCTCAGTACTTGTATAACGTATAAATATGTCCACATGAAATTCTATCACCATCATCATCATCATCATCAGAATCGTCTTCATTATCGTCAGTTAGATGCAGCACAGGCGATTGAAACCTTCCTCTAGCTGTTATTGTCCTTGGAAATGCTAGCTTTTTGGGCTGAAGAAAGAAGGCTCGATTAAGGCTGCTCTCTCTCTGGTCCGGTCGGCTGGTAATAGAGCCGAGGGAGAACGTTGTCCTTAGGAAGTCTTTGGTCGCTTTGGTCGGCATTATGCCCAGACCTTTAGCTTTATTTTGTACCATTTCATGCGTGTATGGTGATGATTCACCTAAACTTATAACTCGTACGCTATTATTGTAATTTCCATTAGAACAAACTAGTAACAAACTACATCCCCTTTTTAAGAGTGAAAAGTGAAAACGCAACGCATGCCATCATAATTTGGTTGCCTTAACGTTTTTCTTTGATCTACGATATGGAAGAGGGTCTGCATCAGAAGAATGGTCGATTTGTTTGAGATAGATAGCACTTTCTTGGACGTAGAGGTAGTGCTGGCCAAACTCCCTCGAGGTATCTATCTGCAGGTCACGGTCAACAATCATGGGCACAAGGCCTCATCTAAAGGGACTAAAATCGTAAAGGGCCTACCAGTCCTTGTGTGCTACACACCTCAATCCTGCTGCTGGCAGGGTTGAAGGTGCGAATGTGCTCCTCAAGGAAGAGTAGCCGTAAAGCGATTGCTTTGTTTTTTATACTATGCCGTTCTCCAATTTTTGTTACTGATAAACATTTGCCCTACCAAGAAGACCCCTCTCAATATTGATACATGTAAATGGCCAGCACTCAACTGTCTTAAATGTTACTTGTAAAATTTTTCAGGGATCTGTGTTGTCCCCTGTAGTGTTCGCCTTGTTTACCTTGACCTGACAAATTCATTTTCCTCTGTCTTCGTCTACTCTTGCGTATGACAATATCGTTTAATGCATAATGGAGACTGTTAACAATGCTGTTCTAAAAAGAGCTATAACTTTCCTCTTGGTAAAGTACAAAGCAGTTGTTGATAAGAACCCTGCAAATCAGGCTGCTCAATTCTGTGATGACGAGGATTGGATCCAGTGGGTCGCACACACTTTCCTTTTGAGCGTCACTTCCTTAGTACCTTCAGTTCTATCAGGTTCTATAAAAATTATGGCCTTCACGACGTGTTGCAGTATGTACTTTGAAGGAAGATACATATTGATGGAAACACCCTTTGGTCCAACTCTAATAAGCCACCACCGAATCTCTGCTTTTGGCTGGGATTAGGTGCCTACTGTACCTGTAAAAAGAATATTTATTTTTATTTTTTGTCTTGTAGGAGGATCTGATATCTATGCAGTCCTGGTTTGTGGAAATGACTCCAAAGACAAAATAAATGCAGCAGTCTTTGATAGAGATCTGTATGAATTCAAGAATGTTCTTGAAGACTGTCGTATCATTGGTGTCAGGTAGGTGTTTTAAACTCCTGTTCCATATTCTTGAATTCACGGTGAGTTTTCCTTTTCCCGATTTAGTCATTCTGTCGTCCACCCTGGTAACTGTGGGATAAATAGTAACCAAAGGTTACCGAGCGTGGGCGACAACGATGGAAGGTCACAAACATTTTTACTCCAACGCTGTGCTTTACCTAAGTCTTACGTGATAGATGGTCACACTACGCGTGATCTGATTCCATTAACAAGTTATAGAAGGTCCAAACGCGCGTGATTCGATTGCGTTCCCTGCATTCCATTCTTTGTTTTTAGAAATCCAAACGCTGGCTATATACGTGTCGTACATGCGTAATAGCAACCTGCAGATTAGGACTGCGGGCTCCTCTTGTCGCTTGCAAAAATGTTAGGCTCCTCTTGTCGCCCGCAAAACGTTATAGCACACAAACCACAAGATGTTGGTTATGATAGTCTTGTATGGTCGACATCCCATTTTACAAGTCATTATCGTGCACCACACGATAAGATAGCCTATCAAGACAATGTGTTTGTGAGTATTCTGGCTGATAGATTTAAAGATCTTATTGCTTGATGATCCCCCCGCCCTCGTAAAATTTGGTATTCTGGGAATAGTTTCTTGAACATCACTGTGGAATTTCTTATGTTTTTGTCCCCAGCAACATGACTGATGTAACTTTTGTTAAAAAATCAAATGGAATGGATATGATTAGTGTACCATAGTGAACCTGAAAATATTCATGTCTTCTATTGATTCCAATTTTGATCATAGGAGAGACCACATTTACTGTGTTAAGCCGCATTCATCTTGTCAGCTGTCACAAGCCACCGAAGTCAAGCAAGCACTAGCGAAATTAAAACAAGATCTACAACAGCAGGGAAAGAGGGATGTCTTCTTGTACTTTTACTTTACTGGTCACAGTGACAAAAGTCAAAATTTGATATGTTCGTCGTACGATGATGTCCTTACAGTATCCGACTTGAAAGACCAGTTTACTCATCTAAAAGGCCTTGTTGGCGAATTCTTGATTATCTTGGATTGCTGCTTTGCGGATGGAAATATTGTTTCTGACGATATTACAAATGAAGCTTACTTTGTCTACAAGTCTCCTGGCCAGGAAGACAAACAAGACCCTTTAAAGCGACTTTCTGTTGACCTCTACAGGCTCCTTGACGATAGGGAGGACTTCGAGGACATTGAAACACCTTACCCAAAGGAGGCCGAACAGGATACGTTAGACGGCAATGTGATTTTAAAGGCTCCAAGTAAAGCAAAAGTGACAGTGCGCCAGTGGTCTTCTTCTTTAAGTGAACAAAGCTCTTACGGAAAGCGTACAGGCAACAGTTTCTTGACGCAGTACCTTGTTCGTGGTTTACGCGGAGCACACTCTAAATGTCCCCTTACAAAATCAAGTTGTTCTTGGTGTGAAAAATTTAGGGCCCAAGCCAGAAGTGTGGGTTACATTACAGCTGCAAACTTAGAAGCTTACATTTCAAAGCATGTCGACAAACAATTACAAAGATCATCGGGAGAAAAGAGACAGACTCCGTGCATGCGATCATTGTTGCATTCCAATGAGACAGTCTTGGCTTACTACAGTGAGGATGTCTTAAAGGATGAAGTCATTTTCAAGTGTCCTTCCGGCCGCATTGAAGGAATCGTTGTTGATCAGTTTCCATTCACACTTTTGGAGTTTCAGAAGCAGCTGTTTAGTATTACCAAGGTTAAAGGTATGTAGTTTATCTTATGTGTTCACCAAGGTGCCTGTATATATTCCTAACAGAGGTAACCTTAAACCTGTGTAAAATCAGTCGTACTGTTTTTCGCCTTCTGTGGTTGACAAACATCAAATCAGCCGTTGCTTTTTTTTTTGTTTGAAAATCACAGATAAATCAAGACAGTGCGTTTAGGAAGTTAATTATTGACTATCCTTGAAATTATCAGCATAGGTTTGGGAATTGAACGAAAAAAATAATATTAAACAAATGCTGACAATTGTTTCCCAAATGTTAATTCAGCTGATTTCTTCAGACTTTGATTGGGGAAAAGCTCCACACATAGGGTTCATGTAAAGGTGGCACGGAAGACGGGCTACGGTGACTACCTGTCTACCGAGATTTACCTTTACAACTGGCTGTAATTGATTCCTCGACATTAAAATTCAAAGTAAATTGAAATATAATTTCCGTTCACTATCTTGCAGACAATCTTCCTAACTGTGTTGAGCCAAAGCATCTTCAGATTCTTTGTGATGGTGAAGAAATTACCTCAGATTCTTACGTTGACCTCATGGACTTCATAAGACAAGGATATGACGTGAGATGCCAGCTCAGACCACACTCCAGCATTGTTCATGGCCCAGTAATGCTTGAGATCCACGATTTCAGAGAGCTGGTGGTAACTCTTCTTGAATTATTGCTGCAGCCTGCAAGTTCCCCCCAGGTTAGTGTCTCATCACTTTGACTCCTACTATGGTTTTCGCCCAGAATATAAAAGTATCAGCTATTGTCACCAACAGTCCTATTCAGGACTGCACTTGCCTGTGAGTCATTACTCCTGTTAGGCACGGCAGGTGCTTAAGTGCCAGTTTCTGTGACACACGCTTAGCCACAAGGCGCGGAGGAGTTTTTTTTTTTACTATGATTGCAGATCAATTTTAAAATTGATAGCGTGAATCGCCTTTTTTACTGTAGAATCAATTATGAACTTGACGGATCAAAACGTCATAGGATCGTTTTACAAACCTGGTAAAATATTACCTAATGCTCGTTAGGAATGGACGTTCATCCATATGGACTACGCATCCAGCATGGGAACCTTTCCAAGCGAGGCACGAAGTGCCGAGAAGTAAACCATTTGAACATTCTAGACCTATTCTTCCCACGTTTGTAAATGATATAAGGGTTGTGTTTTTTTCTTTGTGCAGGACATGACCACTTTTAAGTTGGACACCAACCAGACCACATACGATGCTGAAGATATTGAATTTAAGTTGGAGGATATACCAACAGTCACTAATTTTACGGAGACTCCTCTTGGCAAGTTTATTTCCGAGATGATTTTGACAGTGTCTTCGTCTCCGTCCTTTGGCATTTTAACTATCCATGTTCGGTCCAACAGCTTGGATTGCAGTTTCAAGGCTTCTGATTGAGACGCTAGAACATTGAAATGAGGAATCATTTCTGAGAAATCTCGAAATGGTAGGAAAATTAAAAAAAAAAAAAGACGTAAACGATTCACAACGGGAAACGTTAACGTGAATTTCTCGGGAGTCCATTTCCTCATGATCCTTCCTGGGAGGAGACAACCCTAGAAAGATTTAGTTAAAGTTTCCATTCTTGGAAATACATCCTGGGGTTTTCCTAAGTACAAGTAAGTGCCCCGTGAATACAGTAAGTTTGCTAGTGTTACTAGCGACACTGATGTACTGCAATATAGACCACTTGCCAGGTCTTAAAACATATGGTAATTAACAATTATTCCACGCGTGCGCGTTGGATATGAGAGGGTGATAGCCAACGAGACGCGTAGCGACGAGTTGGCCATAATCATCTCTTATTTTGGCTTTTATAATCTACGGTGTACCTCGTCTCAGCGTTTTTGTTCTTATCATTAGCTGTAACGTTAAACTATCGGGATAATTAAAAAACTCACATAACCGAAGAGAGGGAAAACATGTTCCTTTTGTCGCGGTTCTCATACATGGTGTTTTAGAAGCTTGCAAATTATGGTGTTTTCTTTAGCAGCTCGCTCACTGTTAGGTATTAACGAAAATCCTCAAAAAATATGATCGTTCTAATTACATTTTCAGGTTAGTATGGGAATAGTTTGGAGTAAAAAGACCAGGGAAGGGCTCGTGAATTTTAATTCTAACAATAACTGACGCGATCTTGACTTCTTTGCAAAACAATATTTGGTTTAATTTTTATTGTATTTTGAGATAATATTATAAGGTAGATAGCAATTGTGTAAAAAAAGTCTCTTGAATGTTGAACAGTTAGCTTTGTATATATTTTATGTGTACTCTAATTAAAAATGACTATACAGTTTTAACTAATTTTTAGCATGGCTAATACCATGAGCACTTGATCTTGACGTATAACTGAGTTACTAAGGAAAGTTCTGCGTACAGGCTGTTTCCAAGATAATAAAAGCATAAAAAAAACCATAGCCATTTTGTTGGCAACAAAATGGAAAGGTTGCAAACAACTTTACAACGTTTGCAGTGGAGCCGCAACAACTGAACCAACAAATCAAAGATAAGCAAATTTTACTGCGGAGATCTCAAGTCTCTCTCCTGCTTTTGCGCCATTTTGCAGTAGCTTTGTAGCAGGATTTTCCCTCGGTTTGGTTTTGGTTTGCTGATCCCGTGGATAAAGCAAAGAGGCTCGCCTTTCATTCTTCAGAGGGGACAAACACGTTTCATGAGCTTTTTTATACTGATTTGCAACAAAGCCAAGAACCTATGTGACATAGTTATGTAACTTAAATACATACCTTTTATACAATAAAACTTACTCAAGCTGATTGGCTTATGCTGTTTTTCCTATGTTGTTAAAAGTCATTTCAAGTTTTGTTTGTCCCAAAGCAAGCTATGTAAACAGTTGAGTTAAGTCATTAGCGTTTACATTCTTCAAATCCACAAGACAAACAATCCGATAGAAATTATCCCCGTATTGTCGATTTCGTGTCATTCTTCTGAAGAACTTCTGTATTTCTTATAAGCTCCTCCTAGAACCAGATCGTAACTTGGGATCTTTGTGTATTTACTTTACAGATTTTAGCTCTACCTGAACCTGTACTCTGGACTAGTAACCTCCTTTCTTTATCCTTTAGGGGTGCAAAAAGTTAGCAGGAAGCGCCGAACATTTGTTGCAGAAAGTGTCGAATTTTTAAAGAATACAGTTTTGCTGTGCCATGAAAGTAACAAGAAAAATCTTTGGCTAATTAAGCGATCGATCGACCTTTCTATTGGTTTGGTAATTTTTACGTGTTCTTCTATCATCCCAAGTCGGTTGATTGCATTGGAGAACCATTAGAAAGTTCAGTTTGTTATTTTTACCCTGGTCTTTAGACTGCCTGAACAATGGCCAAACTGAAGGTATCTTTGAGTCTGGCATTCACAGTATATCCTTGTCCTTTATGGCTGCAAAACCCTCCAGTTCTCCACATATATTGTACACGGACACTGAAAGGGAAGTGGGAACTATGCGAAATTTAAAGGCCGGCGGTAGGGCATAAAACTAGTTGACCTCCTTACCCTCTGGGGTACCTGGTAGACCGCTTTATTATAGCACTTGGGTCCCAAGGAGATATGTCAAACCCTATCAAATATCCCCGTTGACTGATAGAAATTTATGATTGTTGACGTCCTTGACTGCAAGAGCTTAGTAACAGAAGATTACCTTAGCATTGGGTCTTCTCGGTCCACCAGCCTGAGGCAATTCATACTATGTAAAGCGCCAAAGCTGACAGCCTTTTCCACCAAATGCTGAGGACGTGGAAGACAGAGCCCTTGCCATTTTGCTAAACGTCTTCGATAGTCTTGTTCAGGAAGGAAAGTCACGGGATAGTAATGACTTCTGCCTAGATGCCTCAATTTGGTTGTGCTCGCTTTTCAACTCTAGACCTGTGCAGTGGATACTGGCAGATAAGATTATGCGAGGGTGATAAGCGAAGGTTCCTTTACGACTAGACATGGTGCGTACCAATTCATAGTCAACGCGTTTCGTCTGAGTAATGTCCATGGGATCTGTAAGTATTCAATGGAATTCGCTACCCAAACATCATCATGTCTTGGTCCAACATTAAATGTGACTAGGTGACACAGGCTTCAAATGAAACCCCGAAGGAGTGAATCATTCTTTAGAATTTCATAACCTTTTCGTTTATTTAATGAGGGGCAAATTATCTTGTAGATAGTAGGTTCTTAATACTGTAACCTTGTCAACATCGTCAACAAGAAAAATGCGAGCAGTGATCAGAAGTAAAGCGGATTGCCTTCTGCAGCAAGTTTTTGTGCATGAACCAGAAGAAAGTACCGGTAGGTCGACATGTAAAGAGTTCTTGGTAGTCATCAGAGCAGGACTGTCCGTCTCAACATTTGTTCTGTTCTGTGTTTTCACTCACGTGGCCAGCATCTATGCAAATTTATTGGAACAAAAGAAAGCGTTTACATAAGAAAAGAGTTCAACTCCCTAAGGACTGGTTTGGTACACAAACATGGCCGCCGTTTCATTGTTTTGGGACTCAAATATGGCCGCCATGACGTCATGTGAAAACACACAGTATGAGGCATCAGTCCTTCGTCAGCAGTGATTATGATGCTTCAAGTCTGAGTCTAAATAAGGTGTTCACATATCTCGCACACTATTCTAACTTCGAGGCAAAGTTTTAGTAAGTTGTCTCTTTATCTCCTTATATGGCTACCATAATTTTTTTTCTGGGGCATGTTACCTCTGTGCCTCCTGGGAAAGACAACCTACATTAGCCTAATAAGATTCTCTCGGTTGTTATACATTATGTTTTTAAAGTGGCCAACCCATGGTCGTAGTAATAAATAAAGAAATAAAATGTCTTTATTTCGCCCGTTAAAATACATAGCAAACGTTACAGAGAGTAAAAGTATACAAATCATGAAAATCGCACGGATCATTTACAATTATTGTATAAAACCTAATAAAACATTGGATATCTATATTGTTAAATTGCCAAGTTGTATTGAAACCTTATTGTGTGGTTCCAGAAAATATCCATACCCCCCCACGGAAGGGATCGGATTTTCCAGGGGGGAGGGAGGGGTCAATTTGCCTAATTTTCCAGTGGGGAGGGGGGTCACCATAGGGAAATACTTCCAGAGGGTTCTCGTGACGCGTAAGAGAGTAACAAAGAAAGAACACAAAAATTTACCACGACAATTTATTTGCGAAGATATAAAACACGACGAAAGTTAAAGAGCTACTAAAACTATGGATTAATGGACATAACGAACATATTTTGTCAGTCCCTTGGCGTGACCTCTCACGCTAAAACGTTCCTTACGGTTTGCCGTTTTCCAACGGATTTGGTATCTGTTTGAACGGCTCGGGCTATCCGTTAAAAAAAAAATAGTCATCCGTTCGAACGACTTTGGCTATCCGGCCGTTTGAAAAAGTTGTCATCCGTTCGAATTACTTGGGCTGTCGGTTTGAAAAAAGTTGTCATCCGTTCGAACGGCTTGGGATATCCTTTTGAAAAAATTGTTATCCGTTCGAACGGCTCGGGCTATCCGTTCGAAAAAGAATTTGTCGACCGTTCGAGCGACTGAAGCTATCTGTTCAAAGATAAATTTTCGCCGAGTTTCCATCCCAAAGCCATTTCGTCGCTAGCCACTCGCGTCGAACGATCTGTTCAGGTCACGTACGTTACGAATTTTGTTTACAAACGTATTATACCGTATTTATTCGAATAAGCGCCCAGCCTCGAGTTAGCGCCCACCTCGAAAAGCCGCCCATCCTAAAGGCAGAAAAAGTTAATGCACCGATCAATGTAAACCCCGTGGGGAGGGGGGGGGG